TTTGCATGGAGTTAGTCTGGGCAAGTTTTATCCTGTTCCCCATTAACCCAAAACTAGCACAGTATTCAAATCTTCCAGTCAAGTACTGGCCAAACATGTGGAGATCTGGAAAACGAGGGTTGATCAGAGCTGTGACGTCTTGAATTCAGGAGACTAAATATTACTCAAACATGCATAAATCACTCTAAATACAACTTTCAGAGGGTAAATGTGAAGAGGAAACAACTATAACATGGGTAAAAGCTCCGAAAAGTTGATTTTGCAGAACAGGTCTGCTTTAATACAATGTACAAATGTTAAAAGTGCATTGGGTAACTTTTCTGGTGAAGGGTTCCTCATACGCCTTTATCCTTGGAGATGTTTCACAGTATGGCATTAAAGCTTTCAATCTTCGTGGAGACCAAACTGGACCAAGTTACAGGTCAGATCTGCGGAGAGGCGCACAGTCAGAATACCTGTTTTTCTAGGTATTTTTGAGCTATAAAACCACCTGTAATTAAATAAATGCAAAGTAGAGCTATTTAATGTCATACTGAGGAACCTTCCAGTCAGAGCTTTAACAGTGCATCGAATTTTCAAGTTGACTTAGGCGTCCATTTATCAGAGCTTTCCGACTAGTTTGGATGACTACTCTTATCAGACAGTCCTCTCCCTCAGCCCTGCACATGCACTGCCGCTCCGGGTTAGAGGATGGAGACCTGAGGGGTTTCACTGGTCTGGAAAACCAACAGGGAGCAGGCACTGGGCAAACAGCAGGAGACAGAGCCCGGGCCTGGAGTCTGCCTGCTGGGCTGCGCGGCGAGGCTTTGGTCCCTGCCTTACATGGTACACTGGTCAAGGTTAGGGGTCATCTCATTCAAAGGGCGCAGGAATGTGAAGCACGGGCTGAGGCGGCGCACGGGGCTCCGCTGCAGCTACAAGACTGATTTAGTGTGGAAGATTTGCTTTTTTGGAGTTTATTTCATGTTAGTGCTCCATTTTGTTACTTGAAAGTGCGCCGTGTAGCTTTTCTGGTGGAGGGTCCGTCAAATGCTTTTCTCCATGAAGATGTTATTATTTGTCTGGAGTCTTTCACAGTATGGCATTAAACCGTTCTGTCTTCATGGAGACCAAACCAAAACGAGTTACAGGTCAGATCTGTGGAGAGGCGACCCCGCTCACAGTCAGAAAGCCTGTTTTTGTAGGTATTTTTGAGCTATAACACCTCTTGTAATTGAGTAAATGCAAGGTAGAGTTGGTCAGTGTCGTACTGTGGAACATTAAATCTCCATAGAAACAAGCAGGTGACGGACCCCCAACTAAAAAGTTACATAGTGTACCTTTAAAGGGTCAAAATTACATGTTATAATGTTGTTTCTTTATCACAAACACATATAAACCCTGCATATTTAGACCATGTTCTACTCTCAAAGATAAAACACTCTGTTCCACCTTGTGATGTCATGTGGTAATACCAGAAGTGCTCCACTGTGTTTGTAAACTCCATACACCTTCACTAGAATCATTTGGATGATTTCAGCTCTGGAATTGTCAATCTCAAGGTAAAATGTGACTGTTAAATTGAAAACTACAGCTTTGTTTTTTTTTTTTTTTCAGGGATGTAAAAATAACCGAAATATCGTGATATCCTATCGTCAAAGTTTTCACAATAATATCATGGACTATCACAATATATCAAATTACAAGTCTCTTTGCTTAAATGAACAGTTCTGGTGCAGCAATAGCTAAAAAAAGACTACATAGACCATGATCCTTTGCTCCATTTCAGTCTAGACTACAAGAAATAACAGTCCAAAGCACTTTTAGGTTTTAGTTCTTTTGATTAAGTCTTGTCAAGGTATTTTAAGAGGAAAAAGTAACATATTAACAGTTTTATTAACCTCCACAAAATATCACAATAAATATCGTTCCGTGAGATGTATATTGTGAAAATATCGTACCGAGAATATTATTACACCATGAGCCTGCCTCCTCATCATATCGTGAGCTTTCCCACGATATCACAATAAATATCGTATCATGAGACTTGGATATTGTTACCCTTCAAATTTTTTTTTTAATGCACACATTCTGACCAAACTTGTTCAAAGTGTCTATGTAAATCATCTTAGGCAGTTTAGAGCAAGTAGATATTGTTTTTTCGCTGTGTCAGAAATGGTAGCCCCCACGATTGGAGTTTGGTATGCAAAACGCAACTGTCATGATGCAAGGGCTTGCAAATGTAGTTTCAGTGTACTTTCCAGTTTATTCTAAGTCACTGACACCAAAACCCTAGAGAAGACTTGAACCACAAAATCTATTCTAAATCTACAATACTGCTAAAAAAATCAGCTAGCTGCAATAAATAAACAGCAGAATGAAAGACTTTTTTACTTTGTGTGTATCTGTAATGAAAATCAAATCATATGGTATAGCCAAAAAATAACCACATATCTTATTGGTATTTTCAGTTGCATTGTGTAAATTTTCTGGTGGAGGATCTGTTACTTTAGATACTTTTCTCCATGGAGATGTTGTTGATTTGTCTGAAATGTTTCACAGTATGACATTAAACCTTTCTATCTTCATGGAGACCAAACCTGACCAAGCTTCAGGTCAGATCTGTGGAGAGGCGACCCCGCTCACAGTCAGAATGTCTGTTTTTCTAGGTATTTTTGAGCCATAAAACGACCTGCAATTTAATAAACGTAAGGCAAATCTGTTTAATGTCGTACTGTGGAACATTCCAGGCAGAGAAATGACATCTCCATAGAAACAAGCAGGTGACGGACCTCCAACCAAAAAGTTACGCAGTGCACCTTTAACTGAAGTGAGAAGATTGAAGTTATGCTATGGATTTTAAAAGCGATATATCGGTATCGGCAAATAGTAGTTTCCACATCAGCTCAAAACCATAAGAATAAAATAAATATCTACACTGGCCCATCTGTAAAGTTGTGGGGCACTTTCAGTAATGTCTGTTGTTTATATCTGTGTAGATTCAAGTCTTCATTCACATGGTATAATCTTTTGTCACAGTAAATCAAGAACGTGGTGCTATGGCAGATTTTTACGACAGATGCCCTTTGTGTCGCGAGCAGCCGCACCGCAGGCTCTAGAGAGAGGAGCATCGTATCCAGGGGCGTGCTCATAAAAACGTGAAAAACTTGCCAAACTTATTCCCCACTTTTCTAATGCATTTGCAGCATTACCGTCCCAGCTAATTACTCATTGCTATGAGTTTAAAAACGCATTTCACAACTTTCAGCCCAGAGCAGAGTTTGAGCATCACACAGCTGCCAATAACAACTAGCACGCCAATAGTGCATCAGCATTACTCCCGAGTTATTGAAAAATACATTGTTATAAGTAGATGCAGACAGCACAGAGAGGCCTTACTTTGACCCCAAGAGCTGCTTTGAACAAGGGTGAAGGCAAAGGAGAAATTCAATTTGTCAACTGGACAAATGTTTATTACAAACGTTTCGCAGTTCATCCAAGCTGCTTCTTTAGTTCTGAACTGATGTTGACAAATTTCTCGTTTGCCATAGAGTCTACCTGTACGAGTGAGGGATTCTACTAGGGCTGGGTATCATTAAGGAGTTGCCGATACGATACATATCTCGATACAGTACACTTTCAATTCGATATGATATATTTCAAATCGATTTGATACGGTTCAATAAAAAATAATGGCTAAATCGTGGCTGTGATACTAAAAGGCTTTGTTAAATTACATCTTGTGCAAAGTTCATATGAAACACAAACATTTTAATCCTCAAAACAGCAAAAATGTCAAATGTGTTGCATAAATGAGCTTCCTTTCACTCCACAAGCAACAAAACTGTAGCACTGTAATAAAATAATTTAGTAAAACACACTTAAAAATACTCTTGGTGAAATATCGATACAGCGGCCCACGATATCGATACTGTATCATCACATTAAATGATACGATATATCGATATTCCGATATTTTTGCACACCCCTAGATTCTACACAAAAGAGAGGGTAAATATGAAGGAGAAATAACTATAGCATTATTTCTCTTATTATTTGAAGAATAAGTCTGGTTAATACAATATATTCTAATATAAATGTTAAAATCCAGATGAGCTTTTTCTGGAGTAACACTGTATAATATTTTCAAGTTGATTTAGGCAACCAATTATCAAAGCTAAACTAAAAGACTGTTCTTATCAGACAGTCCTCCTCACATCCCTCCCCCACACAACTACTAATAACAACTAGCATGCTAAGAGTGTATCATCATTACTTCTGGGTTATAGATCAATAAATCGTTATAACTGCATAAGCGCCCAAGTTCTGCTTTTACAAAATACTCGTCCTGAGGCAAAACTACTGTAATTTTAGGTAATTGCATGACAAAAATATAAAAATAATAATGTATCAGTGTCTTGTATAGAGATATTCAAGTTCAGTTTGGTGCTGCCAGTCTGCACCTTTTGCCCCTCCACTAATATGACTAAAAGGTTGAAGTGTCTTGCTCAAAGACAAAGCAGTTGAGTTTGCTGAATGTAGGACAAAGAGTCATACATTCAGCAAACTCAGCGTCCTAAAGTCTCAGAATCTTCTGCCCATGCATTCCTTATACAGAGAGGAATTCATTCACTTTATAGTCCTGTTCAGAATGAAGGAACTGAACAACTGCTCCACTAAACTCCTCATGAAGAGGCTGAGGGTCAAACCACTTTAAAACTCCCACGGTTTATCAAGTCTTCTTTTGGTCTGTATGAAAGAATAGCAGTAGGCTGGTTACACTGTATTAGTGGCGAATGGAGATTTTGATCTTGCATTTATAATCATTCCCATAGCTTGAACCTACTTGTATTTTGCAGATTAAAGTGACCACAGAAAACGGTGTGCGTGACAGACATGTGTAGGACCTACCTTGGACTGAAGTCTGCAGCCCTCAGAGCCAGTGTCTTATATAAAGGAGGTCTGGTGTGTGTGCAGCATAGACATGTGCTATACAGTGATATTAGAGTATCCAGTATTACCTCTGGACACTGGAGAGTCTGGAGGACAGATGGAGTCCTTGTTTTCAGGGGACAGTCTCTGCTGCTTGGGCTGTGTGTTTCCTGGGCTTAGCGTCGGGCTGGAGGGGGGACTGGAGCCCCTGCTGTTCGTGGCACCCCCGGGGACGGGCTGCAGCCGCGGGGGACTGGCCTGACCCCCGCAGAGGAGCTGATAGGGCACGGTGGCGCGCATGGGGTGCAGCCGGCAGCTGCTGTTGTTGAACGAGCCCGGGGAGCCCGCAGTGCTGCGCCTCACCCGGGGCTGCTGGAGAGAGTTGCTTGGAGTAGACATCCTCCGGAACGGGCCGCAGTTCCTTACGCAGCGACACAAAGTTTACGACAGAGCCGCAGGCGATGCGTAATGGGAAGCACTTTGGCAAAACATTAGCTTGTTAGCCAAAGAAAAAGGTTAGCTTCCTTTATTTCATCTCATGAAGTCGAAGAAACAAAAAGTATCCAGACGCGTCTTGTTCTGCTCAAACTTACCTGATCAGTGGTAAAACATGACGCCTTCAGTTCTGTGCACTTTGTAAGAGCTCTTAAAGTGACTCTGAGTGTTTTCTACGCAGCTCTGCCGTGTCTGAGCCGCGCGCTCTACTCCGAGCGCTCGTGCTAAGTGACAGTTGTTTCTGCTGCGCTCGCGCTCCGGCTGCTGTCGGGGGGCGGGACACACGCGCGCTTCTCTGCTCCTCATTGGTCAGGAGCGCTGTACAGTCACTCTGCTGATTGGTGCAAAGTTTCTCTGGGTCCACGTCCCCGTCCGATCCATAGACGCTCTGAGCCCCGCCCACTGGTTCATCTCAGTGCACATGGTATTTAGTGATTAGCACACACTACAGACGAGGAATTAAAGGTAACAAGGTGTTACACCAAACAGTCAATACATTTATTATGACCACAGTAAGTGACTTTTTAACCAAAAATAGACATGAATAAAAGCATGTTTTTGTTTTGTTTTTGTTTTCCTTTCCTTCCTCCTTAGTTGTTTATATTGCACATATTGCACTGAAAAACATGCATCCTCAAACCTGACTTTTATTTGACCTTCTCCTGCTTTGTTTTATAATCTTCCACAGTATGGTATAAAAAATGTATACATCCATGGAGAATGTTTGGTTTGGTAAGGTTTTAGGTATTTATATGGAATCATGCAGGTGAAGTGCCAGCTCCAGAAAGCTTTATACTGTTGCTTTTAAAGGAACAGTCAAGTGTGGTATTGCTGGGTTTCAGATGATATCACAACACTGTACTACGATTTTGGCCATAGTACAAAAAGTTAATGTCTCTAGTAGTCAGTAATAACAATCATGTTCAACATTTGTGAATTTACCTTTTAGATATTTCATGGCAAAGTTCAATGTTATCAGTAGGAAAACCTGGCTCTTGTCCTTCATCTGGGAGTGTGACAAAACCACCAATTGGAAGATATAGACATACAGTATAACAGACAGCTACAGAAAATAGGAATGCTGTAGTTTTCATGTCTTTGTAGGAATTTTTTGTACTTTTCTTCTCAACTGTCACTTAATACATATTTCCCACAGATGCTCTCCCACCAAAACATGAGTAATAATTAGAAAAACCTGTCATCTGCACTTTAAAGGTGAATCATGTAACTTTTCAGTTGTTACGTCATTGCTTTGCTTAGAATGTTCCACAGGTTGACATTTATTCAATTACAGGTGGTTTTATAGCTCAAAAATACCTAGAAAAACAGGTATTCTGACTGTGAGCGGGGTGGCCTCTCCGTAGCGTACTCTCCGGCTGTACTGTGGGCACTGAGGAATAAGAGAGAGATTAGAAAAGAGAAGGCATGTCTGTGGCAGTCCCCCCCCCTCCCTCGCTCTTCCTCAGTCTGCACTGTTCCGGCAGCTGAGGCCCTTTATGAAGCGAACAATCTGGAGGCTCTTGGACAGTGTGCGGAGCAGCTGCTGTATTCTGCTGGAGGCGGGGGGAGGCAGGGGGGTGACGGGGGGCGGGAGACGGGGGGCTGACAGGAGCAGACAGGAGCAGGCTGCCTCCCTTTGACAAATTCACCACACGGGCGCCTTAAATCACCCTTTAAATCAATCCTATAGTGGAAGTTTATACCACACACACACACACACCCAGATGGAAACAAAGCCTAAAGGGATGTCTACATTAGTACTGATACTTTACTTTTCTTTGGGGGTGTGATGCTACCTGGAAGCACTATTCTGTTACTGAAGACTTTAAAGGCTTTATATAACGCAAATTTGTCTCTTGTGGATTTTGTTAGAATATGTTAGAATGCCGTTACCTCACCAGAAACATACCTGGAGTTGTGTTTTGTTTCACTCATACATTTTGAGTAATGCTTTATTATTAGTCTGTCTACTTCTCCAAAGCTCTTAATGCTCTGTTCCATCTTGTGATGTCATGAAGTGGTAGTTTTCCCGTTAACTGCTACCTTTTACCTTATATTCAGTAGGCCTGGGGTAATCCCAGGACTGAAATTATCCAAATGATTCTAATGAAGGTGTATCGAGTTTTTAAAAAAACAAAATGAGTACGTATACGTGCACATCAGTATCCCGGTTATGCTCGGGTTTTTTGAGGATCTGTATGTTTGCAAGTTTTCTTCTCGACAAAACCCACAAAGTCTAAGAAAAGTTCTGCACCGACAAAGGCTCCTACGGTCGCACCAAAAGGCAGAGGAAGATGCAAACCATCACGCAAAAAGTTGGTCTTCTGGACACGCTGAAGGAGGGTAGAAGTTATGTGGCTGTAGCAGAGTTCTGCACCGGGTACGGGGTAAATAGTTGCTGAAACTGGCGGGTTTAACCTTCTGGAATTTTACAGGCTGGTAGTGATCACACATGGGCAGGTCAGGACTAAACCAGGACAACACCAGAACTACACCAGGTCTAAACCAGGTTTAAACCAGAACTAATCTTGGACTTAAGAGCGAGAAAACTGAGCCCATGGAGCAGGGTGTCCGCAAAGCGCAATTGGGTAATTGCCGCGCTTACCTCTGTGAGATGTGGAGCTATCTGTTGGTCCTTTCTCCTGCGGTAACATCCAAGCCTGTCCCGACAATGTATCCTGGTTCATTTCTGGTTTTGTCCTCCTGTTTCAGTCCTGGAATCAGTCCTCGGTGGTTTACTCCTGTTTTAGTCCTTGTTCAGTCCTGGAATTAGTCCTGGGTTAGTCCTGGTTTAGTTTTGGTTCAGTCTGTGCCGTATACAGTGCAAAAGTTTGATATAATCTCAGGTTAACGGGCAGGTGTGGTGCTGTACTGCGCGGGAGCGGGTCTCCAAAAATGGACCCGTGCAAGACTCTGCGGTGTAGGGCTCCATTACAGGATAAATGAATCTTCGGTTTGTTACATAAAGAAGGAGGAAATAACATAAGGATGACGTCAGCAATAAGTGTTAAGAAGGATGCAAAAAGGGTTGTAACTGTTTTGTGTGAGAAAAGTGTATAAAGTGTGTGGTGAAGGGTTTCACGGCGTTAAAACAGATATAATAATTGTGAAATATAAAGTTGACTACTTCACAGAATTCACCTATCATGGGTTATTTTTAGAACGTAACTCCCATGATAAACGAGGGACCACTGTATCCCGAATATTACCATAACCGGGATATGGCTAATAACCATGATACTGATGTCCATGTAAATGCACTGAATGGAGCACTTCCTGTATTAGTGTTTTCGGTTAGAGAGAAGAGAAGAACTCAGCCTAAATATGCAGTTTGTGTGTTAACCATGTGTGAATAGGGAGGTTACGATATCAAATCCTCTCGATACGATATTTTCATGATATGCATCTAATGGTACGATATTTACTGCAATATTTTATGTAGGCTAAAAAAATGGTGAACATACTACTTTTGTCTTGTCATTATCCAAATAATTAAGATTTAAAAGTGCTTAATAACTGTTCTTTCAACATGTAAACTGGACTGAAACAGAGCAAAGGATCATGGTCTATGTAGTTCTCACTGTTTTTTAACTATTGCTGCACTTGTAAACTTGTGATTCAATATATTGTGATGGTCCACGATATTATTGTGAGACTTTTGACGATACGATATCAAGATATTTCGGTTATTGCTACATCCCTATGTGTGAGTGAAACAAAACACAAGTCCAGGTCTGTTTGTGATGAGGAAACATTATAACATAGATCAGAAACAAGTATAAGACAGGCCCTTTCACCAGCCAATCTATTTTGGCATGACTCCAGAGTCAATTTAGCTGGAGTTGCTTTATAATTACTGTAATTGTCAACAGACTTCCACTATGAAGGAGTGGACTGCTCTGGCTTTTAGAGGTATGGATGTATGGTGGTGAACAGTCAACAGCCAAAACATTAAAAGGTTCTATATAACTCAAAATGGATTGTTTTGAGCTTTTAGTCATGTTATAATGTTGTTATCTCCACAAAAAACAGACCTGGAGTTGTGTTTTATTTCATTCACACACACGTGAGTAGTTTACATCTCCAAAGCTCAAAATGCTTTGTTCTATCTCGTGGTGTCATGAAGAGGTAGTGTTCAAGTTAACAGCTCCTTTTACCTTATGTTCTGTAGAGATGAAGTCAAGTAGTATGGAGTTAAAAAAACAACAATGGAGCACTTCCTGTATTAGAACATGACATCACAAGTAGGGATGGGACAAGCTCTTGTGAGACAATATTGACACGAAATTGCACACACGTACTAAGGCTACGTTAGTATGATGACGGTCTGAACAGAAGACGCAGAAGTGGTGTCACATTTTCACTTTTTATTCCGTGCTTAGACGAGCATTTTCGGGAGGAAATCAGCATGCATACGGTGACGCAAAAGTGTGTGGAATTTGATTGTGTGTTTGTACTTATAGTAACAAGGGCATCTTTGGACATACGGAAGTTTTCACGCCAGACATTTTCATCAGTTACTCCTTCCACAAAGTTGTCCCACCATCGACTGGTTCTCCAGGTCTCGTCCATATCCGTCTGACTCACCTGTGACCAACTTGTGCATCCAGAATTTGACAGAGGTGATTGCAGATCCTTCTCTGTTCACTAACAGTATCTCTGCAGATCCTGTACGTTTGTTGGGAGCCTCCTGTAAGTTTATTAGAGCTGACAGAGCAACTTGAAGATCTGACCAATGGAAATGATCTGACATGTTTGTTTCTGTGTTCTGTATGTATGTGACATAAACACGTACGCGACGTGAGTGTATCCGAGCAGAGTTTTGCATCTTCACCAGTGTAGACGAAAGTGCTATGGCGATTTTTGTGTTTTTAAGCCCCCCAAAAGGCCGTCACCATCTAAATGAAAGGCACTTCTGATAAAATATTTTGTTGTTTTTACCCATAAGCACTCTCATGTAAACAGGCCCTAAAAAAGATCTTGTGAGATTTTTTCCTCATGTTTTTACATTTACAAGTACTAGCGAGTTACATTTTGTGAGAATGTGTAGTCCAAAAAAGCAGATCTACAGTGACAGCAAAAATATCAAATAAAGTAAATAAAAAAGGTGAGTCTAAAACTGGGAATTGAATTGCACAATGTATATATTATAGCCTAAATAATGTCAAAATCTTCTAGTCTAGTCTAGTTCTAGTCTTGTCCCGTTCTCGTAGATCCAATTTTGCATCTTGTCTTGTGGAAATTGCATCTTGTGTGTTAAATATGTGTGAATGAAACAAAACACAACTCCAGGCCTGTTTGTGACGAGGAAACAACATAATAACATAGATCAGAAAACAGAGTGATATGGGCTCTTTACTGCCTTCAGTGCCAGCAGTGCAATAGCATGGGGGGGATTTGCATGTTTATTTTGGACATATGGCAGCTTGTTTCTGTTCCTCATTAGCAAACCCCCAAATATGCTCACAAGCTTTTCACAAAAACAGTGGGTAGTAGGTGGGTAGTATTCAGTTACATTTAATTGAGTGAGAAATGATACTTTTCTACTAGAAGTACTTTTACTCCAGCTTAAGTAGTATTTTTACTGTGGTAATCGCGCTCTTACATGAGAAAAAGTTGTGCTTCCTCTTCCCACTGTGAGTAAGTCTACATACAAAACTTTATGAAATTACTTCATTTTGAGCTTTGGGGATGTAGACAGACTAATAATGAAGTTACTCAAACATGTGTGAATGAAACAAACACAACTCTAGGTCTGTTTTTGTGGAGGTAACAACATTAGAGCAAGGCTTAAAGCTCACAATCAGTGCTGTTGCTGCTCCACACACACTGAATATTTGCGGGGGCACCACCAAAAAATCTGACTTGTGAATCCTCGCAAAACTATCCATCCAAAGTGCGCGGAGAGAGGCGAGAAGCTAGTGCCAGCGCCAACAGAATCCCCCGAAATCTCTCTCTGTCTCTCCCTCTATTTCTCTCTCTCTCCCTTGGTGTCCGGACCTCCATACATGCGAGCAGATAGTTTCTTTGCGAAGAAATTTTCTTATTTAAAGTTCCTTGATTGAGTAAATTCTATAGTGCAATTACTTGTACTTCTGTATTCAGTCCACAGTCATTGCATAAATCTAAAAAAAAATAATAAAGGTGATGGTATTTATTTATTTAATTTGTAAAAATAATTTATTATTTTGTCGTACTTGTTTGAATTACTGTTCATTTGGGGTGGGGTGAGGTGGGATGGTGTGGTGGGGCACCACAAAGCATTTGTGCTTAGTAGTGTTGTAATCAAAATCGCATTAATCGAGACCGAGACAAGACCGAGACATTTAAAAGTCGAGACCGAGACAAGACCAAGACCACGGCCCATTGAGACCAAATCAAGACCATCTTTGTTATTTTCTACATTTATTTGTATTTTACAGTTATGTTGGCACACTGTATATATCAATGTTTTATCGATCTCCATTTGATCTGATTAATGTTAATTTAAATTAGCCAAGAAAACTGTACTGCACTGAAACACACTGTGTACTCACCTACTGTTTGAGGAACCCTTCTGTAAGAGAAATTGTATTGGCAATTTACAGAAAATGCTTCAAAGTGAAGCAGTTTTCTGTGGGCTCCAAAGGAGCACACAGGCCCTGCATGCTACCGCACACAAGTTCATTGCTGTAATGAGCAGCGTTACAGCAGCAGCGGCCATAACGAAATATGATTGCATTGATTGAGTGTCAGACCTCAAGTCCGAGACAAGTCTGAGTCCAAATATGCTCGTGTTTGAGACGAGACCAAGACCGTAAAAAAATGTCTCAAGGCCAAAATCAAGAACAAGACTGGTCTCGAGTACTACTACAATAGTGCTTAGGGCACCCAAATGGCTAGTAATGGCCCTCCTCTTAATAGTCAATTTTGTGTAACCTTTACAAATATGTATGCAGATATACTCAAAGAACTAAAATACACCCATGTACCATTTATCATATTTGCAGAAATTTTTACTGAGAAGATGTCAACATCATTATTTAGTCACTCAATTTCATTGAATCAGTCAACAGTTTCCACCTCAAATTAAATGCTCAAATCACAGCTCTAAAATATTTTTCAATACAAATTTTCTGAACACACACAAACAACTCATAGAAAAATAGGATTCACTTTGACAGTTTTAATAGATGAAAATAAAAGCCTGATTTACACTTGATTAGCTGTTCCTAACCTAAGTGCTTTGTTTAAATCCTGAGTGATTTTCATTAGCGAAGCTGCATATGTCCCTTTACGTAGTTGATTGAGTTAGTCCGATCAGTAACACACACACACACACTCCCTTCTTCATGTTCTGGACCGTCCACAGAGCCCCGCCCGCTGTAGGTCATGTGACACGGCAGCCATTTTAGCCGAGGCCAGAGTAGTTTTATTTAGTGGAGTAATTTTTAAAGGTGGATTGTGTAAATTTTCCGTCAAAGGCTTTTCTGGAATGTTTCACAGTATGGCCTTAAACCTTTCTATCTTCACGGAGGCCAAACCAGACCAAGTTACAGGTCAGATCTGTGGAGAGGCAACCCCGCTCACAGTCAGAGCGCCTGTTTTTCTCTGTATTTTTGAGCCATAAAACCTGTAATTGAATAAATGTAAGGCAGAGCTGTTTAATGTCATATTGTGGAACATTCTAAGCAGAGCAATGACATATCCATAGAAACAAGCAGGTGGACCCCCAACCGAAAAGTTACACAGTGCGCCTTTAAAGAAACTGTACTTTTCTAGCAGCATACTTTTACTCCTACTTGAGGAATATTTTTTTATTGAAGTAACAGTACTCTTAGTTAACCCAAATAGTTTTTTACTCTTATTTGGGTAATTTCTTGGACTTGGACTACTACTTTGTACTTCTACTTCAGGAATATTATTTTGAAATAACATTATTTAGAGATCAACAATATGTTGTTTTTTTTTCCATGGCCAATGCCGATAGAGATTGTTTGGAATACAAAGCAACCACTGGCCAATATTTTTTGTTTTGATTCTGATTATTTTCCCCAATTTATGTAATTTTAGTTCACTACAAATTCCTTTTTACCTCAAACCTATACGAGAGCTGTGTAGTCACGTTTTGTGCAGCTATCTCTTCGTATTCAAGTGTTAATATAAAGGTTTGTGTGTATTTTTTAGGCAGCAGATTGACCAAAGCAAAATAAGCCTGCACTGGAGATTTATAGCGGATCACTGATACGCTTAAAACTCCAAATATCACGCTTAAAAGTTACTCTTATAACCTCTGGCTGTGGCGCCCCCTGCTGTCAGAGGCCGACAGAGGCTCGGTGGGCTCTGTGGGGCAGTGGTTTGGGGCCCCTGGAGCTCCTCGGGCACAGGTCTCATGTAGGACAGGTCTGTAGGTTTGTAGGTCTGTAGGTCTAGCTGCTGTCAGAAGGCACCAGGTTCCCCGTGGTGTCCAGCTGCATGCATTTACAGGTGCAGGCTGACACGGGGCACTCACTGTGGTCTCTGTAACAAGATTCACAATTACAAAGGTTATTTTACTGATGATTTAATGTGATGAAACAACAGGAATCCACTTTATTTAATAGTTATAATGTTGTTCCCTCATCACAAACAGACGTGGAGTTGTGTTTTGTTTCATTCACACTTCTTTAACACAAACCCCTGCATATTTGTTTTCTTCTCTCAGAGAGAAAACACTCTGTTCCACTTTTTGATGTCATTTGGTAATACAGGAAACACTCCACTATGTTCTTAAACTCCATACACGTTTACTACAATTATCTTGATGACTTCAGCCCTGGAATTGCCAACTATTAATAAAAGGATTACCAGTACTCAAACATACATGAATGAAACAAAACACAATTCCAGGCAGAGTCCTGTACCGGATTGGGGCGGGTACGAGCGAATAGTTGCTGAAAAGGGCGGGTTTTAACGTTTTGGAATTTTATGGCTGGGTATATGGGCGGGTAGTGCTTACACACCAGCGGGTCAGGACTAAATCAGGACTAAATAAGGACTAAATCAGGACTACACCAGGCCTACACCAGGACTAAACCAGGGCCAAACCATGTCTAAACCAGGTCTAAACCATGTCTAAAACAGGACTAAACCTTGGACTTGAGAGAACCCAGAGCCCATGGAGCAGACGGCTGCGCTTAACTCCGTGGGGCATGAAGCTCTGCACCGGTCCTTTTGCCTGCGGTCACCTGACAGTCTACACGGGCGCACCTCCGTGCTCATCCCGACAGTGAGTCCTGGTTTAGTCCTGGTTCAGTTCTGGTTTAGTCCGTGGCGTGTTTGTTCTACTCAGTAAATAAAGCTTGTGAAGTGATGACAGTCGAGTCGCATGTGTGAATTCATATTTGTACTGAAGAAAGGGTAAGTGTTTAATTTCATTTCGTGATTGTAATTCTTAGTCGTAACTTTTCAATGTGTATTCTGATGGATGCTTCAGTTTCAATGCTTTTAATTAGTGTGTAATTTATCACGGGCACGGGCAGGTAATGGGTGGAATGTTAAAGGGTCCGGGCAGGTGTGGGTTTAACTTTGATATAATCAAAGGTTAACGAGAAGGTGTGGTGCTGTACTGTGCGAGTGCGAGTCTCCAAAAATGGACCCCTGCAGGACTCTGACTCCAAGTATGTTTTTGAGAAGGTAACAACATTCTAACATGGTTTAAAACTTACAAGAGTCAATTTTGCGTAATATAGAACCTTTAAGTTCCTATGTATAATTCACGGCAAAGAATTTAAAATGAACTAATTCTGGAATTCACATTTTAAGTCAGTAAATAATAGGGATGGGCATGATTAGTCGACTAATGGATAATTGACCATTAAGAATTTCATCGATCACGTTAATTTTTAATCAACAAACTGAATGTACTGTGTGAAGTGCAGTGTGAGGAGACGAGGCTGCGTCTGACACAAACACTGGAGTTGCACCTCATAGGCCCACGTTTGGGCTCTGGCTCCTTGGAGACACTGTTCCACTCATTGAGTGTGTTTACAGCACATCAGTGTCCCAGGTATGATCGGGTCGGTTTCGTCATGGTGTATGTAAACGCTGTATGCTGATTACTGCAACATAAAGTTGAATCACATGCGTCCAAAAGACAAACACTTTTTAGTCTTTCATCACAACAGAAGCCAAAATAAATAAAGTGACCAACATAAATAAAGTGAGTGAAATGATGTTAAATAAAGAGCTGCACTAAACCTGCACATGTCTGATCTGTGAAAACATGAACCATCTCCAACACGACACACACACAGAACACACTCACCATCATCATCAACATCATCATCATCATCCCTCTGTCACAGAGAGAACACTCATATTCCACTGAGTCGTGTTCTTTAGTCCGACAGAAGCTGAACCGCATCAACACACAAGGAAAGAGATGTTTTTTTTCAGAGCTTATAGTTTATGCAAATGAGTGATGTGGTTTTAAGTTTCGTTTCTGTAAAACGTAAACAAATGTGTCAAAGCTGCATTAACACATTATAATGTCAAACAGGCTGATGTGGATCTAGAGTGTTTATGGTTTATATGTTGAGTTTATTTATGCAGATTAGTAATAGTAATTAGTAGTAATAATAATGATGATAATTTTTATATAAAAACATTAATGATTCATCGAAAATTGAACGTTAATTCTCCTGATGATCGATTAAGAAAATTTAATCGAATGCCCATCCCTAATAAATAATAATTACAGTGCCAGTTCCCATGTATAATTAATTAAAATACCGAAACACAGGAGTTTCATGTTTCATATAACTTAAAGACATACTATGGAACTTTACAAATTCTGTGCTACTACTTCACAACAGCAACTAAGCAACTTCCCCAAAATGAAGATGAACACACAGGCCTGTAAAACCAAACACACGATCACTCAAGATGTTTGCTTTTGGATAAGTAGAACATCCAGGGAGTGTCTTTATCCAAACAGCACCATCTCCACGGAGACGAGCAGACCTGTCAGATCCAGACAAAGACATGAAGGAGAACCTGACCTGAACCAGCTGAGGATGTGCCCCGCGTGGCCGCCATGACGACAGTTGTGACACCACGTGAACCAGTTGTTGAACTGAGCCAGTTTGTTTTCTCTGGTCAGGTCCATCTTCTCCTCTGACTTCCCCGGACCTGGAAATAACAAAGACAAGCTTAGCTAATTTTGAAGGTGCATTGTGTAACTTTTCTTCATGGAGATATTATTGCTTTGTCTGGAATGTTTCACAGTATGCCGGTAAACTTTTCTATCTTCACAGAGACCAAACCAGAAAAAAGTTACAGGTCAGATCTGTGGAGAGGCGACCCCGCTCACAGTGAGAATGTCTGTTTTTCTAGGTACTTTTGATCTATAAAACCACCTGTAATTGAAGAAATGTAACATACAGCTGTCTAATGTCATACTGTGGAACATTCCAGGCAGAGTAATGACATATCCTCAGAAACAAGCAGGTGACGGACCCCCAACCAAAAAGTTACAGAGTGTACCTTTAAACCTGTGTGTATATAATAAGACTTTGCAAAGGGGGCTAAAACTGCTCCTTGGCCGTAGTAATCCAAAAGCACGGGTGGTACTGGGGGGGGTAATGGGGCACCAGGAGGGGGCCTTGCTCAGGGCGCCAATCGGTGTAGGATCGCCACTGTCCACAAGTTTCATCATGTTTGAATTTTTATTTACACAGAGCTATTCTGTTGTTACTCGAGAGATAAATGATAGCTACATAAAACATCTGGACCAGTTTTGTCTTATTTATTTTTATTAAAAGGAATTAAATGCTGTTTTCAGTCACTGCTCTGGTATTGGCTGACACCGGGATGTGGTAGATAATTAAAGACATATTGAAGTATCTGTATTGGTAGCACAACTGAAAAAAGCTGAATCAGTGCATCTCGATTTAATACTGATTGTTATAACAGATAATTATAAAATACTACATTTTATTTATACAAGTGCTTTTCTAAACTAACTTAACCAGACAAAATATAGGCATGATAATAAGCAGGTTAAAAAAGGATAAAAGCAGGTTTGACATTTAAAGTGGTTCAAAATAGTTGTGTTTTGAGCAGTTTCTTGAAGCTGAGGAGTTTGGTGCAGTTGTGAATTTGCTGAGGTCTAATATTTGTACTTTAATTGCTTAACTACTACAGTGGCAGAGCTTAGTTTCAGTAGTACCTGGGGAGTTGGAGACGGGCGTGCCCATGTTCATGAGGCAGAGGGCACAGCGGGGGAGGGGCTTCCTACAGCCCGGGCAGCTGGTCACTTTGGACTTGGTGGGCGAGCCGCTGACCCCATACTGACTGAAGCCCCGACCCTGGTGAGGCATGGCTGCGCAGCTGTACGAGATGGACTTCCCACAGAAGTTACAGCTCACAAACACCTGTACCAGGACAACACAGATTAGACTTAGACAAGCTTTAGTGATCCACAAGGGAAATTCCATAGACAGAGTAGCTCACACATCCCAATATATTATAATAACAAAAGAGAAATAGTAATAATAATAATTTGTAAAATAGCAACAGACTGGTGACAGAGAAGGTGTAATTATACAAATGTATGTGGGGAAGCTGGCCAATATGATCTTAAGCAGGAAACAGACTCAGAAAAAGTTCCATTCGCCTAAAAATGTATTCACAATTCACCATGGTATCCCTGGTAAACATAATACCTATTTCTAAAAATAACTGCTCAAAAAGCTGGCAAAAGCAACAGAAATTAACGAAACTAAGGAAAACTCAAGCATACCTGGCTACACTCATGTGAACTCCTCCTGAACTGCTTATATAGCCCCCTGCAGGAAAGACCCCAGGATCCCCCCAGGTAAGTACAACATTCTCCTAAAGGTCAGATGGTCAGGTGAGTTCACTCTTTACCCTAAAGTTAACCATTTTAGTTACTAGGACCTAAATCCCTTTTAAATTTACCGTATTTTCCACACTATAGGGAGCACTCAAAAGTTTCCAACCCCATCAAAAAACGACTGTGTGCCCCGCAATCCCGAGTGCCCTATACACGAATCCACTCGGGTGTCCCAGCATGACTTCAGTAAAATACAAAGCCACCCGCAGGGCACACAAACACACACAGAGCAGACAGCGACCGCACAGTGAAAAACACCCACAGACACACTCATCACTCCACGACGACGAGGAACGGAACGAAGGAACGAACCGAAAAAGCGAGTGCAATGTGCCACTTCTAGACACAACTGAACAACTGAGTCACTGCGACCACGCCAACAATCCAGCGGTCCCAGACAGCACCCTCCTTACACGCCACAACTGAACAAAGCCCAGAGTCACCGTGAACGCGACAAACAAAGTCCCACTGACCCATCCAACAGTTGTGTTTCGTTTAAAGTCGGGTGCCGTTTATTTGTGAAAAAAATTTGAAAATAGACCATTCTACAAGAGTAAACCTTATAATCCAGAGCGCCCTATAGTGCGGAAAATATGGTAAGTGTTTAACATAAACTATAAACACTAAAATATATAAATCAAACACAAAATCCCTAAAACAAAAAAGAGAACTGAAACCAATTCTTTCCTCTACAGGGTCTGGACCAAAACCTCCCCCAGAGGATATAAATATGACCAACTTAAGGCACACCCCTCTTTTGTCTCCAAAGCATGTGGTGTAACAGGTAAGTAGGTTAGTATGTCTCGAGTGTTGTGTGTAACTTGAAGGTACTAAACAAAGAAACAAACCTGGGACAGTTATGAAAAACTAAGGTGAGTATAAAGGGACACAGACCCACTTTGTCACAGTGTATATGTACAAGTAAAAATAAAATAAATTAAAATACAGAAATAAAGTAATTAAACAAAAATAAAACTGCAGTTATATACAAAAGGTTGAAGAAAAACAGTGCAAAGATGATATGATGACATGAGGACATAGGGTTATCTGTTACATAAGGGTGAGTTGTTGTACAGTTGTAGGGAGTATTATCTGTTACATAAGGGTGAGTTGTTGTACAGTTGTAGGAAGTATTATCTGTTACATAAGAGTGAGTTGTTGTACAGTGAAATGTTACTGTGTATTTCCAATAATAAACCTTTAGTACAATGCAAAGTCCACACCTGTGCCAGTGGCTTGGAGCTGGGGTCCAGTTTGCCTCTGTGGATATCGAACTCTGCCCGTTTGTGCCAGAACCTCCAAGCGTCCAGGAGGTTTCTGTAGTTCTCGATCCAGCACTGAACCCGGGGGTCCTTCAGCACCTCCCCTGTGGAGCCCTGCCACACACACGGACAGCAGACATGTCAATGCGCAGGGGATAAATGGGTCAGAATAGGCAGGGTCATAGCATTTTCAAGGTCCTATATTATGCAAAATTGACTCTTGTGAGCTTCAAGACATGTTAGAAAGTTGCTACCTCCACAAAAACATACCTGGAGTTGTGTTTTGTTTCATTCATTTGAGTAATCCTGTATTATTAGTGTGTCTACCAGTGGTGGAGTGTCAGGGCCTGCAAGGCCTTTCCTGCTGGCCTAAAAAAAATCTGAATCTGAGACTGATGGTAATTATATTATTATTAAATAATACCAAATGGTCTGTCTGCTTTCTTTCAGAGCTTTGCGTTTTTGTTCGGAATCGTTGCCAACACAGAATGTCTGTCTTTGTCTACATCCATCTCACCCGCTTTGTTTACTGTTGTACTGTTCCACACAAGGGACCCAGACAGGCGCTTGAGTTTGATGTCATTGCTTCACAGCTCTTTACTGATTGGCCAGTGCACGGTCTACAACTTCCAGGGTTCTTGCAAACCGTCTAGTGTATTTTGATTCCTGACCTAGTCATTGGAGAGAAATGAAATTGAGTGGAGGCACTAGGTGGCGCCAGCCTGGCTAGATTAATGGTTCATTAAAAACACAGTGGAGCACCTCCTGTATATTACGACATGAGATCACAAGGTGGAACAGAGTGTTTTCTGTTTGAGAGAAGAACTCAACCTAAATATGCAGGGTTTGTGTGTTAAACACGTGTGAATGAAACAAAACACAACTCCAGGTCTGTTTGTGATGTGGAAACAACATTAGAACAAAGATCAGAAAACAGTGTAATATGGGCTCTTTAAACAATATTAGTTTGACTTTATTTTGACTTGACACCTGTATTATCTGGGTTAAACAATACTGGACTATCGACTGTTTGTGATCTCAGGTCAGTAGATCTCAAACAGAACATGCACCCTGGTTATTGATTTCCACGTCGGGTGCTAGTGTTCGATCAGAGCTGTCACCCATCCCTGTGCTGGAATGTGAGCTTTTACAGCCACTCCAGGTTAGCTCTGCGGAGAGGCAAGTTATGACAGGAAGAGGCAGGGACAACAGAAGAGACTGGAAGTGGGTCAGATTTATATCAATCATAATGTAGATATGTAAATGTAGAAATAACTCATATTCATTTATGACATACAGATTATAACAGAATTTGGGGGAAAAAAAGCATTAAAGGTGCACTGTGCAACTTTTCTGGTGGTGGGACCTGTCCATTAAACATACCCATCTGGCATTTATTCATTATGAGTGTTTCTGTTGCTCAAAAATACAATGATTCCTTCTGTGATAGGTGCGACTCTGCACAGATCTGAACTGTAATGTAGCGTGGTGCTGTAAGATGCTTGTCTCTCTCGTGATAGACAAGTTTAATCTATACTGTGGAACATTCTAGACAAAGCAATAACATTTCCATGGAGACAAGCAGGTAACGGACCCTCCACTAGAAAAGTTGCAGTGCACTTTTAATTCACAGTACAATAAATGTTTTGGCTGACCATACAGACCAGTCTATATTCTGTTTGAATCTAGAAGGCACTGAAACCGGGCCACAGAGTGTGAAAAAACGCAGTCCAAACTTAAGACAATCCAACTACAGATGCACATTTGTATCACATGTCTTTCAAATGCTTAAAAGACATCTCCTCTTGAAAATTTTCCTAACCTCTGTTACCTGAAATAAGTAATAGTTTGGTGCTTTGATTGCTGATTGTGTAAAAATTCACACTGTTTCTCAGTCCTTTGAGTAGATTTTCCCCTTTTTGACGTGAACAGAGCATGCATGTCTCTGATTGGTTAATCTAACTGTCAATCACTCCCTCTGGAATCAGGGAGACAGGACACAGCTCCAGATCCACTCGTCTTTGTAAAGTTTTGTCAAAGCGTGTGATTCAGGTAATTTCAGTACACTTTTGATTGGGAAGATATGAATTTTAGTCTAGTTACTTCACAGCCACAGAACTGTCAAACGTGCAGAGTGAAACTTTTCTGGTAGAGCGTGAACACTCTACCACCTGCTTGTCTCCATGGAGATGTTATTGCTTTGAGTAGAATAATCCTCTGTATAGTATTGAACTAATCCATCTTGCATTTATTCAAACGGATTAGGACTCTGAAAACATGTACTTTTACTGTGAGTGGGTTCTTGCCTTTCCATGGAAATATTTACTGCCGTACTGTGAAAAATTCCAGACAAAACAATAACATCTCCATGGAGACAAGAAAGAGCCAGATCTTCCACTAGAAAAGTTACACAGCGCACCTGACCTATGACATCAGAGGCTATAATACTCCTTACAATAGAAGAATGGTCAAAACTTAAAGGGCCTATACTGTGCTATTTTCTGATACCGTATTTTTCGGACTATAAGTGGCACTTTTTTTCATGGTTTGGGTGTTTCCTGCGACTTATACTCCAGTGCGACTTATATATTAAAATTTTCACACTGACAGCCAACAGAGGGCGCTCTAGGCTGCGCATGTCTCCTGCAGAAAAAGCCACTGTCCTGCTGCAAATAGTGAAATCTGCAACTGAAAATGGTAATCGAGTCGCATACAGAAAGTTTGGAGTGAGCGAGAAACTTGTGAGGGACTGGCAGAAAGCGGGGATGGAGAACACAGCTTCACGATAACCAGGAGGATGTGCCATGCAACTTTCCTGGAAGTCACTGGATGGATCGACCAAGCTTGGACTTCAGTGACACCGAAACCATCCTGTCGGGATTCAGAAAGGCTGGAACAATTCTAACTGGAACTGATGCTGAATCTGACGACAGCTACACAGAAGAGGAAGCAGCACTCTGTTTACCTCCGAAGGTAAGTGACACTGAGGATGAAGAATTCAATAGATTAAGTGATTTGGAGTGAGATGGAGAGTTTGGTAAACTTGTTATGTTGTTTATGCTATAGTTATCCGAAGAACTGTTTATATATTACGTTAACATACTAGACGCCTATTCAGCCTGTTGTTCTCTATTCTATAATTACTATAACTTGCCATTTGAGGTGAAATGTCGGTTTCTGGTCTCTGATTTTGTAAAATAATTTTCCCCAAAAAAGTTGCGACTTGTTTTTTTCTTCTTCATTACAGATTTTTTGGCTGGTGCAACTTATAGTTCGAAAAATACTGTATGTTATAATGTTGTTTCCTTATCACAAAAGCCTGGAGTTGTGTTTTGTTTCTGTCACACATGTTTGACACTTGGAGAAAAAGTGGTGGCACTTTACAGCAAAATGTTTCAGAGTGTGATACCCGGCCCTGGGTCACCCGGGCTTTTCTGTGTGGCGTTTGCGTGTTCTCCCTGTGTCTGGGTGGGTTTTCTCTGGGTACTCTGGTTTCCCCCATCAACCCAAAGAACATGCACTATAGCTACAGTCCTCCAGCTCAGGTAGTCCAAGCCTAGCAAAAAGATCACAGCCTACTACCCCTGAGGAGTTGTCCCTGTGATATTGAAGGATAGGTCAAATGTAGAGGACAGATTTTCCTACGGGGACAACACAGTACATTTCTTCTTTAACACACAAACCCTGCATATTTAGGCTGCGTTCATTATACATTATTCTACAACATCCCCTCTAACAACACTAATACATGCGGTCTCTCTGTAGTACCTTGAGCATACAGAAGCTGGCGGTCTGTACGTCTCCAGTGCGGTCCACGTAGCTCTCCATCAGGTCCACTCCGTCTTTGGTGAGGCCGGTTAACAGAAGACCCTCCAGGTTCCCCGCCTCCTTCATCTCACCGCTCAGTTTGTCAATGTATCGAGGCAACTGTCAGCAGAAAACAACAGAGAAATTATCTAACTGATTCTAGTGAAGGTGTATGGAATATAAAAACACGGTGGAGCAGTTCTTATATTACCACGACATCACAATGTGAAACAGAGCGTTTCCCGTTTCAGACAAGAACTCAGTGTAAATATGTGAAACAAAACACAACATCTGGTATGTTTGTGATGAGGAAACATGGTAACATATATCAGGAAATAGCAATAAATGAAGGAATTGAAGGAAGTACAGAGCAGTGGGCGGAGGTGATGAAAACAGAGGTAGATGTCTTTCATGCAGGAAAATAAAGATTACTCATACATGCATGGATCATTCTGAAGACAACTAAGGACAAAAGGGAGCAACTATAACATGGTTAAAAGCTCTGACAAGTTTTCACTGGTGGAATGTATCGAAGTAAAGTAGAGCACTAAAGTTAATTTTAACGTGGATACACATTACTTTTACTTCACTACATTTGAGAGCAGATATATGTACTTCCTACTCTGCTACATTTTTGAACAGAACTGAAAAGTAAAAGTAATTTTATTATCGTCTGAGACCTGCTGAACAGGCTGGGGAACGGGAAGATTTTTAGCACATTTGTATTTTGAGCAAACAAAAATGTACTTATAAAAGCAGCTGGGGAAAAACATTTTTAAAACAGGTATTCTAATACTTTACTTGAGTAGACTTTATATGTAACCCTTTTACTTAATTTTTTGCTCCAGTATCTGCACTTTCACTTACGAAACAGTTGAGTACTTCCTCCACCACTTCAAGGTTTGCACAATATTTCGCATTTAATCTTCAAATTTACTCAACTAACAAATGAAACTGGCCACATTTCTGGTGGAGGGTCCACTACCTGCTTCTCTCCATGAAGTTTGTTTAAATTTTCAGTGGTCCAGAAGTAATGGTGCGATCGACTGACATGATACAGACAGGACAGAGGCTCTTTCTGCAGGAGACATGTGCAGTAGAGCCAAGTGACAGTGGTACAGGATTAACAGGAGCAGCAGATACTCACACACAAGACTAGAACCTCTCGCCGCTTCAGTGTGAACATTGAATACTGTATATAAGTCGCACCGCAGTATAAGTCACAGGAAACACCCAAACCACGAAAAAAAGTCTGACTTATAGTCCAAAAAATACAGTGTGCTGTTTTCTGATCTGTGTTATGTTATTTCTTCATCACAAACACAACTTGACTTTTGTTTTGTTTTTTCATTTTCTTTAACACACACACACACACATCATATTTAATCTGAGTTCTCCTATCAGACAAAAAACACTCTGTTCCACCTTGAGGTGTACTGTGGTAATAAAGGAAGTGCTCCACTGTGTTTTTAAAGTCCATACACCTTTACTAGAATCATTTTTAAGCAATAACATTTCCATGGAGACAAGCAGGTGGCGGACTCTCCACTAGAAATGTTACGCAGTGCACCTTTAACGTTATAAGTAATAGCAAATTTACAAAGGAAAAACAAAAGTAAACATGCTGTACTGTACTTAGCACCTGTCCCAGAAGCAAAATATGATGAAGAAATGACAAATCTTACCTGTGTATCATTTAAAAACATACAGGCAAAGGCCACTCGATCCCTCACCGCCACGCTGCTCTCATTCTGAAACAACAAAACAAAAATGAACTCACAATTTGTCAAGAAGTCAAACCTTAGAAGCCTTGTAGTTTTAGTATGATGGTAAGGCCAGGATCACGTGGGACATCTGGAGCCCTGGACCTATCCATTCAGACACGTGTGAGAAGCTATGAATATGAACTGTTTTTTTCAGTCTCTGCGCTCTGTTTGTTTGATATTGGTGAATGCAGATACCAGTATAATTATAAATATTTGTTTTTAAAGCATTAGAACACAATAATCTGGACTAGAGCATCTTTAAAAGGTCCACATTACGCAATTTTCTCATGTTATAATGTTGTTTCCTCATCACAAACAAACCTTGACACACACACACTCTGTATATTTAGACTGACTTCTCTCAAACGGAAAACACTCATGTGGTAATATACGTGGTGCTCAACTGTGTTTTTAAACTCCAAACACTTTCACTAGAGTCATTTAGTTGATTTCAGCCCTGGAATTGCCAATCTCTACTGAACTAAAGTTAAAAGGTAGCCGGTAACTAGAAAATTATCGCTTCATGACATCACGAGGTAGAACAGAGTGTTTTCCATTTGAGAATGTGACTGTGAATGAAACAAACTACAACTCCAGGTATGTGTAAATGTGTAATCAATTCTGGTTTTACATCTTCGTCTCCATGAAACTGTTTAAGACTATCCCTCTAATATATTATACAAATTGTAGTTATATCTGTAGCACTTTTGAATTTTTGCACTATATATATTTTTATACTATGCATCTTTTTATACTATGTATTTTTATACTATGTATCTTTCTATGTATTGGTTGTTGGGATTTGTGCTATTTATATCTTGTATTATATTTGAACTTGAATAGCTTGTAACTAAAATCTGTTCAGCCTACATGTCCCATCATGCACCAGGGGACTGTGGGCCACTGTGAACATGTGACCTACACCTATTACTTTAAATCTGCACTGTGACAGACATCTCGAGTTTGCCCTGATTAAGGCTGAAGGGCCGAAACACGTTGGTGTGATTTTAACTTTATCTGCCATGTGGTATTAAAGACTTTTAATTATTTTGTACTTTTTGAGTGCTTCAGTTTTTTCCTACTTTACAACTCCAGGTGTTTTTGATGAGGTAACAACATGGCAAAAAGCTTACAAAGGTCAATTTTGTATTGTATAGGACCTTTAAAGTTGCATTTGTGTTAACTTTTCTGGTGTAGGAGCCATCACCTGCTTGTTTCTATGGATATATGTCATTGCTATGCCTGGAATGTTCCACAGTATGACTTTACCGTACTATGTTCCGGGCTATTAGGCTCTCTGGATTATCAGACGCACTGTCATTAAATGGTCAAACTTTTTTTCACAAATAAATCGCACTGGACTTTAATCGAAACACAACAGTTGGATGGGTCAGTGGGACTTTGTTTGGCGCGTTCACGGTGACTCTGGGCTTTGTTCAGTTGTGGCGTGTAGGGAGGGTGCTGTCTGGGACCACTGGATTGTCGGCGTGTTCGCAGTGACTCAGTTGTTCAGTTGTGGCTCAGAGTGGTACATTGCACTTGCTTTTTCGGTTCGTTCCTCCATTCCGTTCCTCGTCGGCGTGGAGTGATGAGTGTGTCTGCGGGTGTTTTTCACTGTGCGGTCGCTGTCTGCTCCGTGTGTGTTTGCTTGCGCTGCGGGTGGTGCGGCTTTGTAGTTTACTAAAGTCGTGCTGGGACACCCGAGTGGATTCATGTATAGGGTGCTCTGGATTGTGGAGCGCGTAGTCGTTTTTTTGATGCGGTTGGAGGCTTAAGAGTGCGCCTAATAGCCCGGAAAATATGGTAAATAATAACTCTATCTTACATTTGTTCAATTACAGGTGGTTTTACAGCTCAAATATACCTCGAAAAATAAGCATTCTGACTGTGAGCAGAGTTGCTTCTCCACAGATCTGACCTGAAACTTGGTCTGTTTTAGTCTCCATGAAGCTAGACAGGTTTAATACCATACTGTGAAACACTCCAGACAAAGCAATAACATCTCCATGGAGAAAAGCAGTTGACGGACCCTTCATGAGAAAGTTACACAGCGCATCTTTAATGTAAACAAACACAAGTACCAGAACTCCGTCATAGGCCCCGGGTTCACTGGTGAGGAAGGCGAACATGACGCAGAGGTACGGGTTCTGGAGCTGCAGTCTGAGGGAGCTGCACATCTCTCTCCACAGAGACGCCTTCTCATCCGTGTACCCCGACAGCGCCATGGCAACCACGTTCAGGTTCAAGTCCCCTACACAAAACAGGGGAGAGGACAGGAGATTTAGATGCATGTTTTATTTTCTAACACTAACACTGGAGCTATTGGTGTGTTTGTAAATGATTACTCAAGTGCAAAGCCATTTTTCAAGCAGCTGTCACTTCAGGAACATTTTGACCTGAGCTTTCACACAATCGCAGCAAGTTCAGATTTCCTCACAGGCTCTTTCTTAAGCCGGGGCAGTGAGTTTAATGTTGCCACACCTCGCCAGGGCATCATCGCTCAAACTCAGGAAGCCCAGGCTGACCTACATGCTGGAATTTTCCTCTGTCATGACACCGGTAAACAACAAGGCCGTCTCACAGCTGTTTAACAAGACCTCTGCTGTGTCAAAATAACATTCTTGTGCACTTTCATCAGTCAATAGCTATTTTAAAAGTGCATGACTAAAGGGGCATGTTTGAAGCGATTGAGGAACTGTTGTAACGTGTTTTAAATGTGTTTCAGAAAGGTGGTGTTTGTGTGTGGAGAGGTGTGCTCAGTGTTGGGGAGTTACACTTTCTGAACTGAGAATAGAAATATCAGCCCAAGATCAACTGTGATTTCAACATTATCTTTTATTATTTTGTGTATGTGTAACTAGAATTATGTATTTCAAAATTCAGTCCAAAGAAGTATGTACAAATCAGAGACATTATCCCAAACTCGTCAAATGTAGTAAATACTTATTGTGCATTAAAGCTAAGGCTGTTACACTGATCACATTTTAATCAAATTGTGATCACATTTTTGCACACTTCTTTGTCCCTGTATGGAAATTTGTTCTCTGCATAACCCTAACCCTGATCGAGGACTACCTTAACTGGAACTTACCTTTTACATATTTTGCATATTTTGTAAACCATTAACTTTGAACAACAACATGAATTCTCCCAAGTTCACAAACTCAAGAGTAGCAGTGTGGTGTAGGCGGAGCCAAAGGTGAAGAGCCCAAAGAAACCAAATCAAACTGGGCAACAGGGATGGTCGTGGTTCATTTTTAGCAGAAACACAAGCTATTGTATTTGAAAAATATATAGAAACCAACCCAGATACATACAACTGAGCCCATACCCCACACTAAACAAGGGTGAAACTGAGGACCGTCTTGCAGTGAGGAGAAAGTGCTAACTACTCACTCAACCACCCCTCAGCAGTATTATTAGGAACTCTGCACCAACAGTACGTCAGATCAGGAGAAGCCTTAAGTCTCACAATTAAAAGTCCCATATTACTGTATTTTTCAGACTATAAGTCCCTCCGGAGTATAAGTCTCATCAGTCAAAAAATGCATAATGAAGAAGAAAAAACATATAATTCGCATCGGACTATAAGTCGCACTTTTTGAGGGAAATTTATTTTATCAAATCGAAGACCAAGAACCGACATTTTATCTTGAAAGGTAAGTTATAGTAATAACAACAGAATGTTAACGTAACAAGTTTACCAAACTCTCCATCTCACTCCAAATCACTAAATCCACTGAATTCTTCATCCTCTGTGTCACTTCTGAGCAACTCTGTGACCTCTGGAGGTAAACAGAGCGCCGCTTCCTCTTCTGTGTCGCTGTCGTCAGACTCAGCATCAGTTTCAGTTAAAATTATTTCGGCCTTTCTGAATCCCGACAGGATGGTTTCGGTGTCACTGAAGTCCAGGCTTTGTCCATCCATCCAGTGACTTCAGGAAAGTTTCATGGTGCATCCTCCCGGTGTCACAAGTTTCTTGCTCACTCCAAACTTTCTTTCTGCTGCTCGATTACCGTTTTCAGCTGCAGATTTCACTACTTGCAGCTTGTAATCTGCAAAATATGATTTTCTTTTTGGGGGCATTTGTGTCCAGTCTTCTCAGTCATCCTTATAAGTTTGTTTAAATTGGTACAGAAGTAATGGTGCGATTGACTGACATGATACAGACAGGACAGAGGCTCTTTCTGCAGGAGACATGTGCAGTAGAGCCAAGTGACAGTGGTACAGGAGGAACAGGAGCAGCAGATACTCACACACAAGACTAGAACCTCTCACCGCCTCAGTGTGAACATTTAATATATAAGTCGCATCGGAGTATAAGTCGCAGGACCATCACAAATATACCTGGACTTCTGTTTTGTTTTTTTCATTCACACATGTTTAACACACAAACCTGCATATTTAATCTGAGTTCTTCTATCAGACAGAAAACAGTTTGTTCCACCTTGAGATGTAATGTGGTATTAAAGGAAGTGCTCCACTGTGTTTTTAAAGCCCATACACCTTCACTAGAATGGTTTTTGATCATTTCAGGTCTGGAATTTCCAATGTCTACTAAAAAATGTATGTAAAATATGTAGCTGTAAACTTGAAAACTATAGAGATCACAAGGTGGAACAGAGCATTTTGAGCATTAAGGATGTAGATATACTAACTCAAACATGTGTGAATGAAACTAAACCCAGCTTCAGTTATGTTTTTGATGAGGTAACAACATTCTAACATGGCTTAAAGCTCACAGGAGTCAATTTTGTGTCATTAAAGACTCAAACCTGACCCCCACACTCACCCTTGTCTGCACTGGCTCCCTTGTTGAGGATCTGGATGGCTCTGCGGATGTCCATGTTGAACAGGGCCACAGCGGCTGCTCTCTCCCACTCGCGCTCCTGCTCCAAGGTTCTGAGGAGGGGTTCCACGTCCTGGTCTGACCCCCGGCCCGTCCACCCGCACAGCCTCAGGGCCAGGCTGCGCTCCTCGCTGTGGAATCGAGGCACGTCCGCCTGCCGATCTGACCCGCTCCAGCACCTACGGGTCTCTGTTGTACCTGAGGGAAGACGGAGGCAGGGTCAATATTGAAATAAAGTTTTGGTTTAGATTTGGTTTAGTCCCATTTTAGCCCTGGAAAAGTTTTGGTTTAGTCTTGGTTTAGTCCTGGTTTAATCTTGGCTTAGTCTGAGTTTAGTCTTAGTAAAGTCCAAAGTCCTAAATCCTGGTTTAGTCTTGGCTTAGTCCTGGTTTAGTCTTGGTTCTGGTTTTATCCTGGTTTTGTCCTGGTCTAGTCCTGGCTTAGTCCTGGCTTAGTCCTGGTTTTGTCGTGGTTTTGTCGTGGTTTTGTTCTGGCTTTGTCCTGGTTTTGTCCTGGTTTTGTCCTTGTCTAGTCCTGGTCTAGTCCTGGCTTAGTCCTGGTCCTGGTATAGTCCTGGCTTAGTCCTGGCTTAGTCCTGGCTTAGTCCTGGCTTAGTCCTGGTTTTGTCCTGGCCTAGTCTTGGTCTAGTCATGGCTTAGTTCTGGCTTAGCCCTGGTTTAGTCCTGGTTTAGTCCTAGCATAGGCTTGGCTAAATCCTGGCTTAGTCCTGGCTTAGTCCTGGTTTAGTCCTGGTTTTGTCCTGGTCTAGTCGTGACTTAGTCCTGGTTTAGTCCTGGTTTAGACCTGGTTTCATATGGTCAATGGATCTGTCAGCTGCATTTTTTTTTTCCAATTTCCTAAAGACACTTGGTCCTGGTGCAGTTCTGATTTAGTCCTGGTCTAGTCCAGCTTTAGTTCTGGATGTAGTCTCAGTTCAGTCTCAGTTTTGATGTGGTGAATGTGGTGGTGAATGTGAGTGAATTAGAGTGAAGAATGAATTACCAGAGCTGGTTTTGACGATGTTCTTTATCCCGGAGTAGACCAAAGCCTGCTTGTTCCCCTGCAGTTTGAGCTCCAGGTCCTCTGCACACTGCTTCATATGTAATACTCACATAGGAAACTTTTTCAAACACAATCTTAACGACTACAATGACAACGATGACAATTATTACGCTAAACAGACCCTTGTTACCTCCTTAGAAACAAACCTGGAGCTGTGAAACATGTGTGAATGAAACAAAACACACAACTCCACGTATGTTTGTGATGAGGAAACTATATTAGAACATAGATCAACCGCGTAACAGTTCAGTAAAGCTCATTTAAAACATAATGGCGCACTCTAGTGGTCCAAACAAGTCACTGCAATAATGCTATTTAGATTGGAGCTCTCGATACAAATGCTTCCACTAGAACGCACCACAGTATGGCATTTCACTTGTCTTACCAGCATTTATTTCATCAAAGGTGATTTGGTCGCCTGGGAGATAATGGGAGTTTAATGTCAGATTGTGGAACATTCCAGACGAAGCAATAACATCTCACTGGACCCTCCATCAGAAAAGTTGTGCAGGTCATGTTTAATTTGTAACCACACGCCTTATTGTCCTGTTAGTATTTACTTCCTATAGTTATTTGTAGAATATTTACAGCTTAAAATGCTCCCCACCCTCTGTAGTGTAGTCTTACAGTATTTCACAGCTATCTGCCACAGTGGTGAAAATAGTAAAAACAATTTGACCTAACTAATAGTACTCAATTACAAGTACTTTTGCCAAAACTGTACTAAAGTAAAGGTAAAATGTAAGCATAAAAAGTGGCCAAACTAGAATACTAACTGAATAAATATTTGGAAGCAGATAACAAATCCAGCAAATTTAAAAATTTATCTAATCTAATAAAATTATTCACCAACAGCCTCCTACAGATCCACACAAATGGTGAGAAATATAGCACTACATTCATATAATACTCCCTACAACCGTACAACAACTCACCCTTATGGAACAGATAATACTCCCTACAACTGTACAACAACTCACCCTTATGGAACAGATAATACTCCCTACAACTGTACAACAACTCACCCTTATGGAACAGATAATACTCCCTACAACTGTACAACAACTCACCCTTATGGAACAGATAATACTCCCTACAACTGTACAACAACTCACCCTTATGTAACAGATAATACTCCTACAACTGTACAACAACTCACCCTTATGTAACAGATAATACTCCCTACAACTGTACAACAACTCACCCTTATGGAACAGATAATACTCCCTACAACTGTACAACAACTCACCCTTATGTAACAGATAATACTCCCTACAACTGTACAACAACTCACCCTTATGGAACAGATAATACTCCCTACAACCGTACAACAACTCACCCTTATGTAACAGATAATACTCCCTACAACTGTACAACAACTCACCCTTATGGAACAGATAATACTCCCTACAACTGTACTACAACTCACCCTATATGTAACAGATAATACTCCCTACAACTGTACAACAACTCACCCTTATGGAACAGATAATACTCCCTACAACTGTACAACAACTCACCCTTATGGAACAGATAATACTCCCTACAACTGTACAACAACTCACCCTTATGTAACAGATAATACTCCCTACAACTGTACAACAGCTCACCCTTATGGAACAGATAATACTCCTACAACTGTACAACAACTCACCCTTATGGAACAGATAATACTCCCTACAACTGTACAACAACTCACCCTTATGGAACACTCCCTACAATGTACAAACAGATAATACTCCCTACAACTGTACAACAACTCACCCTTATGGAACAGATAATACTCCCTACAACTGTACTACAACTCACCCTATATGTAACAGATAATACTCCCTACAACTGTACAATAACTCACCCTTATGTAACAGATAATACTCCCTACAACTGTACAACAACTCACCCTTATGGAACAGATAATACTCCCTACAACTGTACAACAACTCACCCTTATGTAACAGATAATACTCCCTACAACTGTACAACAGCTCACCCTTATGGAACAGATAATACTCCTACACTGTACAACTCACCCTTATAATACTCCCTACAACTGTACAACAACTCACCCTTATGGAACAGATAATACTCCCTACAACTGTACAACAACTCACCCTTATGGAACAGATAATACTCCCTACAACTGTACAACAGCTCACCATTTATGGAACAGATAATACTCCCTACAACTGCACAACAACTCACCCATATAGATACAGTAACACATTACATTACACATTACAGTAACATGAGCATTTGTCATTAGAATGGAAGGATATAGGAGAGGTCGTACCACAGGGACTTGAGCTGTGGGTCGCTCCCCCCTGCCAGCACATGGTTCTTCCACACCTGCCCCGTGTCGTGCCCGTACCTCGACTGGGCCCTCTGCCTCATCTTGGTGGCTATATCGGCCTCCATGCCCGCCGCCCCATCCTCCGCGCACTCGTACAGGTACCTCCCGCATGCCCACATCAGGGAGGTGGTGGAGCTCCAGGCCAGGGAGATGCGCTCAAACACGGTGAAGTCGGTCATGGCGCGGTTGGCGGCGGACACAACCACCATGCGGTTCTGGGAGGACGGGTGCCAGGCGAAGCTCCCGATCTGGGTGTCACAGGGCTGGACGCTGCGCTCGATGATGGTGGGCTCCGTCTCGTCTCCGATGGGGGTGGGTGTGTGCTGCATGTCGTACAGGCGGATGATGTTGCTGTCGCGGGTCAGAGTGGCGAGCAGGCCAGTACGCGTGGGGCACCAGGCTACCTAAGGGGGGGAAGGCAGAACATAGGCCTGTCATGATAACAAATTTTGAAGTTTGACATTATCCCAAGGAAATTCATTATTGAACCAAAGGCAGTTTACAACTTAAATTGTAAAGGAACAATGTTTTTTGAATATAAAAAATAAATCACACAGAACTGCCAGCAAACATAGCTTAAGGTGGTACTTTGTTTTGCTGAAAAATATTTGGTAGAGTTAAGGCCGCCACACACTACAGGATTTTTCAGTTTTAAAAATCTTTTAAACGTGCTACAAAAAGCACACACCACAGACATGAGGAGAATCTTATGAGACTTAAAATCTCCAATCGCAAAGACTGCAGTGAGATGCTGCGGAGCACAGGCTACACAGTAATTGTTTCCTGTCTAGACTAACACCACTCGCTTTGAGAGTGTTTAAAAGGTCAGAGTTCTGCACTTCTAGTTTAGATACAAGTCAAAACTGTGTTATTATTATTTGCGAAATGTGGTACAATACTTCAGGTACATGATTTATAAAGCATAAAAGATTGGCGAAAGTCCACAGGAATTCAGTCACTACCGCAAATCTGCAGCTTCACCCCAGTCTGTGCGTTGTGTGGATGAAAACAGACACATGTGAGGAACTACTTTCACCGTTTTACTTTCAAAGAACGCCTCAAGCTGGATCAATAGTGCGGTTTTGGGGACTGCCTGTCATTACTTGTGGAGGACAATTTCCATGGATAATGTGGATGAGATGTTGCACTTTAAATTTACCACTTTACGAGAGGTGAGTATTAAAGTCTTCGCATTATTTTCGCTATATCCCGAGTTTGTATCTTGTGCCTCTGTAGCTGTCCCTCCGTCTGCCCATGACGCTCTGTCTTATCGGCTGTTACCGTAGCGTTGTTGATGTTTGGTGGTTATAATCGGACAGAGCAGCTCAAAGCGGCCTCATAATCGCACATGAAGACACAAGGTTGGGTCACGCCTCACCGTACTCGGGGGGGAGAAGCAAGAAATTCTTTTGTAGCGTGTGGCAGATTTTATTTCGCTTTTTTTCTTTACTATATAATTACAAAACTCTTGTGTCATATATTGGATGTCTTTTGTATGGATATAAAGCATAGAAATTACTAAAAACATTGAAGGAGATGGTGTGTCCATGTGGTTTTGACTGGTGTATGTATGGAGTAAATCAGATACAGAGACTGGAACTTTTTCCCAGTGATGCTCTATCTTACCTTGGTGAGTGGTTTGGGCTGCTCCGTCAGCGTCAGCACAGGCTTCTCAAACTTCCTCAGGTCCCATATGGCCACCTGCCCCTCGAAGAACGATGCCACCCTGTCCGGGAAGTGTGGGTCCACCGTCACGCCCTGGATCGCTTTGGTGTTTACAAAAGTCTTCTGGCTAGTGTTCCTTAGATCAAAAATGGCCAGATTTCTATGCATCCCGGCTAGGAGCAACTTGGGGTCCCTTAGCAACCAGCATAGCGACAGGCACGCATCATTCTGCCCTAACTCGTACATGGGTTTAGTCACCACCGTGCTCGAATCTAGATCCAGAGACGATAAACGGATTTTCTCTGCAGTCGCCACGCTAGCTTCAGGCGAATACTTACTGCTGATGTCCCATATGAGAACTGAAAAGTCCGCTCTGTGCTTGTCCAGACCAGCTGCCAGTAAGTTACTATCAACAGGATTCCACGCTAAGGTATTGCATTGTCTGGCATGTTTAGGCACAAATTCTTTCCCGACGAGATCTTTGCAAGCAGAATTATGACTCTGCCCCAAGCTGGTGAGGACAACCCTGCCGTTGGCTTGGCCGACCGCGAGCAAACATTCAGGTTCGTGTTTGGGATACCAGGCCACGCATTTCATATAGGGAGTGTCAGAGTTGATGGCGAGGAGGGTGGCAGCGGTTTCGGACGACAGGGGGAGGGTCCCCGCCTTGGACTCGGCTGCCCCTACAGGCCCGATGCGGTACAGGCCCAGCTCAGAGTCGCAGATGACGTAGCGGTCAGGGTGGTGCGGGGACCACAGGATGTCAGGTTTGGAGCAGCTCATGGTGCAGCAGCAAAAGGATGGTTCTCTGAGGAAACGGGTGTCAACATCAGGAGCAGCCTAGAAAAGAATGTAAAAAGTTGTTTTAGTGATTGGTCAAATGAATCAGAGAAATAATATTGTAGTACTTTTACTGGTATAATTTTAATCATGTTCATATTTAGAATCAATCAGTAAATATAAACATTTTAAATCATTTTAAACACAATATATTATTACGGATGACACTAGTAATACAAACACTAATAAGCTTCTGTCTCCTTCACAAGTTGGGATCAATACATGACTGTCACTGCATTAAAACTACGAATAAACACACAGACATAAACATAAACTCAAAAGAAATCTAAACTTGTTTTGGAGTATTTAAAATATCCACTCTTGGTTTTGATCTCTGCTTTGCACTTTCAGTATTTCTTGTTCCTGACAAGGCACAGCTGTGATGTGAAAACAGGTTCAGGAGACTTCATCATTAAAGCTTGGTGAGAGAAAGGATTTGTAGCGCTGTCGACAAAGCAACGCGTGGCTACTTGGAATCTGAAACTAAAATATATAAAATTATTAGTTATTTAACTTTTTTCCTTTTCTAATACTTTACATTTAGCTTCATAATATATAATTATATTTAGTGCCTTCAGTAGATATATATATTGTAGTAAATACAAAGGAATAAAAAAAGGTAGTGTACATCTGCCACAATTTCTAAACCCTAAATATCTCATTATGTGAAAAGGTCAAATTTGTCTCATCTAATTATCATTCAGTACTGATACTTAGATATTAGTTTTAGTGTTAGTATCTGGATATTTTTATAGTTTGAAAACCCAGGTATCTTTTTTTAGAACTACCTACCCACATTAGTTGGATGAATAGTGTTATTTTTATTGTAAAAAGCGATTACTGTAGGTGAAATGCCTTTCCCATGGACACAACAACAATATCATCATGAAATGAAGGATCTGGGAATGCTTACAATTTGAATTTTAAGTGCCATGTGTATACAGATAGTTTTCACTATCTGTATACACTGAGATTTAAAGTAATTTCAAAATGGACAGCATCTGCGTGAGAAATAGTTAAGCTATATTAATCACATACTGAGCAAAGAGCAGTACGGAAATATAAGGTCAGGCACGTGATCACATGAGCAAAAGTTAAAGTTTACTAGTTCAAATTTGGTGGATCGTGCTAACTTTTGCTAATGCTAACGAATGAAGGTTGATCGTGAAACAATTTGTGATCCCTGCACAATATAGCGGTTTAAAAATAAAAGACAAATGTTCACTTGACGTAATAATTCGAAAGGTTGATCTTACGCGTGCTCACGGCGTAATCACGGCCGGTAAAAGCATCTCCACATGTCTCAAAGCTGCTCTACTCTCTCGAGCAGCCTCGTTTGTTGTGTGTTTCACCAAAATAGTTCCTCCTCCTGTGTGAGAACAAGAGGCGCGCACTCAAGGTTCCGCTCAAGGTCGATGGCGCGTGGTTTAAAGCTAAGAGCTATTTTACTTTTAAATGATAAAACCACAAAGAAATTGCGTTTTATTAACCCTACGTTGATTGCAAGAAAGATGAACCATCTACATGTATCTGCTTGGTAATTTATTTTATTAACCATATTTTATTAATTTAATCTTAATACATGCAATAGTATTAGACAGTACTTTTCTTCTGTTCATCCAAATGTTTTAGTTTGCAGGATTAGCCTTGAAATTAAACATGTATCCCAAGTAGGGTGACCAGATATTCAGAATTCAAAACTGGGCTGGTATAAATAAAATTGTGACATTGTACATTTTTAACCTATTTCACCAGGTGTAGCAGGAGGAAAGGAGAAATTCAGTAAGTCAACTGGACAAAAGTTTATTTTGGTCGAATACGTTTCGCAGCTCATCCAAGCTGCTTCTTCTGCCTGCAGGGAGGAGCTAACTACACTGAAACTACTCTGAAAATAACACCCTGCTTGTTTACAGTTTCAATTTTTTTAGATATGGGCCTACTGAACTTGCACTTACTGTGAGGTCATGTTAGCAGAATCATTCAGGCCCTTGATGAGTGCTTTCACACGTCTGGACCTGACCTGGCTACCCCTATTGTTCTCTTTGTTTTGATTTAGTCTGAGGATGGAGTTATAGATGGGAGACAAATGATGTCTGAGGCCTCCATTTCTGTTCAATGAAAGATTGTCTTTCCTAACAGAAATAGCCTCTTTAAGTGCCCTCTCAAACCATTTCTTTTCTCTGGCTAAGATCTGTACTTCACTGTCCTCAAAGAATTGGCCTGTGACTTTTAGGTGGAGATGTAGGGTAGACTGAGCTATGGGCAGTTGACTAAGAGTAGCTGGTCGAGGTCATAGCCAGTATTTAGCACTGACTGGATCTGATCTGATCTGACCACAATTTATGCAAGAGCTGTAAGACCTGTTACAATCCCAGGCCGGAAGGTGAGTGAGCAAAGTCCAATAGCACATCCATGGAACTGCAGATGCTTCATCTCCATGAGGTGTAAAACTACACCTACACATCCCCACAGCTTCTTAGTTTTGCACTGATTGCTGCATGTTCTGCTGTTCAAATATGTGCTGTAAGAAAGACATTTTCCACAGCGAAAAACTCCCCACACACCAAACCTCTGCAAGAACTGCATTTTGCAATAGAGATATTATTGCAGAATGATTGAGTGCTCCCTTTAATATAGAAGTACTCTGTAACCAGTAGTTTGAAATAAAGTAGTTACATTACTTATTGAAGGAGTAATCAGTATTTAGATTTCCTTTCCAAAGTAATCTGACTAACACCTCCATTAACGCCCAAAATGTGCAATAATCTAGAGTCGATGCTCTATCGGGTAGATGGATTCGAATGCTCCCAGTAGAACCAGAGCTCCGTACCCTATATAAACCCCCAAAATGTACAATCACAAATAGGTGATCCTCTTTGGGTTAGACTAAGCCAAGTATCCGTGGTCCTGCAAGCCTTCCTTAACCTCCAGGAACGCACAGATTGAGTACTGAACATTGTGGGGGTTCCTGGAGGCTATGGTGCTTTGGTTCCACTGGGGGCACATGGCTCAATGAATCATTGCATTACCCAGGTTCAATGGATGCACCAGATCTAAATTTAAAAATGAATATCCTGTAAAATGTGCAGTCTCCTTTCCATTTGTTCTGTTTGCAGCCACAGACTTTACACACTGAGGCGTCCTCTCTGCTTTTTGTGTGTGTGTCTCATGTTTGTGTGCATGTTTCCCACATGAATTTGCAAAGTAAGGCACAGCTATAATATCCAGTTCTATGTATCCATAGATGGACGCTTTAATATAAGTCTTTTTGTTTTTGTTTTGTTTTTTTGCCTCTTCCTGCACCTACTTTTTATCTAAAGTAAATAAATCAAAAGCTCATTTGAATGTGGAGGGTTTAAATCAGCCACAAAGAGTGACCATGTGTCCTCTCTGTGCCAGTCCCCAGCCTGGACAAATAAGGGCTCCACTCTTCCACACCTGTGTGTGTGCGTGTGTGTGTGAGAGATGTGTGACCGTAATTTGTGTGTATGTGATTGATTTGTGTATGTGACTGTGATTTGTGTGTGTTGTGTGTGTGAGACTGTTTGCAAAAGTGTGTGTGCGTGGTTGTGTGACTATGATTTGTGTGTGTGCAGGCTGGTGTGTGTGTGTTGCACGTTTGTGTGACTGTGATTTGTGTATGTTTGTATGTGAGACTGTGTTTGTGTGTGTGTGCGTGTTTGTGTGACTGTGATTTGTGTTTTGAGCTCCCATGTGTGTGTGTTTTGGTCTGTGTGTGTGTGTGTGTGTGTGTTTGTGTGCTTGTGATTTGTGTGCAAAAGAACTGAAGAATTTTGAACATTATTATTCTACACACATTTCTTTTGTTTTTCCGTTGTAAATTGTGTTAAACACTTATACAAACTTTATTGATCCACAAGGGAAATTATTTGGACACAGTATCTCACACATGACAATATATTATACTAACAATATATATAATAACAGAGAGCAAAAATAAAAATGTACATTAAAAAATGCATAATACTTTCTCACTTCACCCTCTGAGTGAGCAGGGCTGGTGGAATGCTGTGTTGTGCCTACAGTCTTTGTGGATGGGGCCAGTGATTCTGTCTGACCGCACATGACCCAGGGCACCCAGACACCACTTGTGACCCAGACAGCACCCAGACACCACTCTGGCAGGACCCAGGCAGAACCCAGACTTCACCCAGACAGCACCCTTCTGTGGATGACGCCCAAAGAGGTGGCACTCAGCAGACTGCGTGCACCAGCCCACGAGGGTCAAAGTAAGTTTTCTACAAAGCTTTGTATTTTTTACATGTGTTATCTTAATTGGAGCGGACCTCTTCATTGGACTAACCATACAATAGAAGAAAGAATCATCCATTTGATGGCTCAGATTCAAATGGGCTTTCTTCACACTGAACTGAAACTGAAGAAATGCAAAAATTCAAGCGTTTACCAGATTCAATGTTAGAAGGTTGGTCGATAGAGTATTAAGGTATCCCAAGGTATCAAAAAGTAGCAACAGTATCAGTTTCTTTACTGTCATGTTAAAAAATCTGAAGTGCATAAGGACCTAATATAACATTATAATTTATTGATACCTAAATGTGTTTGCTCAGCACAAATGAATGTATGATTGCATTTTCAATTTAATGCTATCACCATTTAAAACTAATAGTATCTGTAATGTTTCTTTTTCTTTTAACTGTGTGGGGAGATGACGTTCGATTAGTTTTGTTCCATTGTCACGTGACGCTCATAATTTGTTTGTTTTGCTCAATTTGTTGTTCTCAGTATGATATGAAACCTTTTCATGAAGACCAAACCAAACCAAGTTACAGGTCAGATCTGTGGAGAGACGACCCCGCTCACAGTCAGAATGTCTGTTTTTCTAGGTACTTTTGAACTATAAAACCACATGTAACGTCATACTGTGGAATATTCCTGGCAGAGCAATGACATATCCACAGAAAAAAAGCAGGTGATGGACCCCAACCAAAAAGTGACATAGTGCACCTTTAAATGCAACTCTGCATGAAAGTATTCAAAGTATTCAGACTAAAGTACTCTAAGTGGACCATGTATCAGAATACATTACAAACATACATTTTAATGTAGGTATTCAGTATTCTGTCACTAAATGCAAGTATTTTTCCCTTCTCTGGCTAACAATGTACTTTCAATGTGTATTATTTTTAATGTTTTGGGACTCATCATCAACATAAGTTCACTGGTTCACGGTCTAACTTTTTTGGTAGAGGGTCCACCACTTCGATTCCATGTTGGGTTATTCCTGATATGTTCTACAGTATGGCATTTCACTGGAGACACATCACCAGGCCACGTTATGGGTCAGATCTGTGGAGAAGTGGACCTGCTCACAACAATAACGCATGTTTTTGCTGTAGTTTTGAGACATAAAAACACCTGTAGAAGATTAATCATCATCCCAGCAGTCCATAAAACCCTTGAAATCTGTCTTCAGATATTTCGTTTCTTGCAGTTAATTTGTGTCTTTTTTGTTCAACACCTTGCGACAACTGTTGACTATCTGATGTTTCTGTGATCACGCCCCGACATCTTTGCAGTTTCAAAAGTGCTGCATCCCTCTGAAAGACTTTTTACAACAACTCTTTTTTTTATTCCATTTTGCATGAGGAAAATTAAGCTTTCTAATGATTCTGCACACCTTGATCTCCGTAGGCTGCACCCTCCATCATTAGACAAATACACATCACCAGATCAGCTTCAATCCAATAAGAATTTACGTTTATACAGCCTGGAGTTGGAGAATAGGCAGAAAAATCATGATATGGTCAAAATACCCATGCACTCGCCTAATAATTATACAAGATATATTTGTTTAATGCCATTCTGTGGAACTTCTCAGGCAAAGAAATCGTCATGGCATCACTATGATGCCATGACAAGCAGATGACAGAACTTTCACCAGAAAAAGTTACACAATGCACCTTTAAATATAAATATGTGCTATAGTAAATAACTTCTTTATGTAAAAATATAAAAGTGCTTCTCAGACCATGATATAATATTTTTAACTTCAAGAGGCAACACAAAAGTCATCAGATATTGTACAAAGCTGTTAAAAAGAATAGTCAGAAACTCACACATTTATGCATAATAGAAAATGTTTGAGCAGGAAGTTCTTCTGAAACAAAACACAGAATAAACAGAATAAAAGTGTAAGCTGGATCTCCTTTTATCAGTTTGTTCTTAAATGTTCTATATTACACAAAACTGACTCTTGTGAGATTTAAGCTGTGCTATAATGCTGTTCCCTCCTCAAAAACAGACCTGGAGTTGTGTTTTGTTTTATTCACACATGTTTGAGAAACCCTTTATACCCTTTAATAGTCAATAATGTGTATTTAAATCTATCTCCTGTACAGCAGACTCAAAATGTGGAGGAGAAGAGGTCTGAGTAGAGCCCTGGTCTTGCTCCTCTTGGTTCTTCTCATTGTGTTGGAGACGGCGACAGCCCAGAGAAGATCATCAGCCCGGAGAAACTACTACAGGCAGCCAGAGGGTATGTGGCAAATACGTAAAGGTGCACTATGTAACTTTTTGTTTGGGGGTCCGTCACCTGCTTATTTCTACAGATATTTAATTTCTCTGCCTTGAATGCTCCACAGTGTAACATTAAACAGCTCTGATTTACATTTATTCAATTACAGGTGGTTTTATTGCTCAAAAATACCTATTCTGACTGTGAGCGGGGTCACCTCTCCACAGATCTGACCTGTAACTTGGTCTGGTTTGGTCTCCATGAAGATGGAAAGGTTTAATACGATGAAATACTGAGAAACATTCCAGACAAAGCAATAATATCTCCATGGAGAAAAGCATTTGATGGACCCTCCACCAGAAAAGTTACACAATGCACCTTTCCTTTTAAAAAGTTTTGATAAGCTTTTAGAGCTATATTATTGTCATTGTCTAAAGCAGAGGTATCCAAACTTTTTTCATCAAGGGTCACATATCTAAACACAGATGAAGCTGAGGGCTGACTGAGGGCCGTAGACTGGAGCTCAGTACAGTGAATAATTGAAATATGTGCATGTTTATCACGTTAGAATGAGCCATCAGTCTTTATTCGTTCTAAGATCCTTAAAACCACACACTAAATATTCAATATTCGCTTTATCAAGGTACATTTTCAAAAAACTTGCAGTAAAAAGTAAAATTTTCATTGATGCGAGGTCATTTGGGCCAATTCTCCTAGAAGCCTGAGGGCCAAAAAAAATGTGTCTGAGGGCCGCATTTGACCCATGGGCCATAATTTGGACATGCCTGGTCTAAAGAATTAAGAGAGAGAAGTTCTTTAGAACAGTTATGTCTTTGTTTTCTGTATTAAAATGAAACAAAAGATCATGGGTTATGTAGTTTTTTTTGCTTTTGCTGCAGTAAAACATTTATTATCACAATATTTCGCTTATAGTCACATTCATTACTGTCCACTACTGTGATATAAATAACATTAAAACGTGTTAATTTTTGCCAAATATTCAAACCAGTCGTATCTCCCTCAGTCCAAACCTGCTCCTTGGACGTGCTCTTCCTCCTGGACAGTTCGGAGAGCGCCAAAACTTTCCTGTTTGAGAAGCAGAAGGCGTTTGTGTTGAGATTCAGCACCCGTCTGTCCATGCTCCAGGTAACAGGCTGCGTATTGTACCTTTTTGCCTGCCGTACCAATTGTAGTTTACTGGGAACTACTGTATGTCTGTTTGGTTTCATTCACACGTGTTTGAGTAACCCTTTATATTTTTCGTCTGTCTACATCTCAATGCCCGGTTCCATCTTCAGTCTGACGTCATCAAACTAACTTTCAAGTCAACTTCTACATTTTACTTTACCTTTATGTTTTGTAGAGCATGGAAATTCCAGGACTGAATTATCCAGATGATTCTAGTGAAGGTGTACGGAGTTTAAAAACACAGTTGTATTTGAGAGCTCCTTTATCATGTGAATAAATATCATGAAAAATATTGAGCTCAAAATGTACCCTTTGACCCTTATTTGTCAGTTCTTGTACTCCTTTGTATCATGAGACAAAAATAAGGAGTCGTGCAAAGGCAAAAGGCAGTGACAGTGTATGTTTTGTTTGTGATTTAGTTCATAAATATATTACAATATTTTAAAATCCAACCTCTGGCCTCCTTTTTGTTGCGGCCTTGGCACAGGGTCTTAACACATTCAATAAATATACCTTTGTCTTTAGTTATACTTAAATGATCTTTAATGTGAAAGTATTTGGTGTATTTATTCATACTGTACATACTATACTGCAAAGTCACTTGTCTCTCAAACTGTTGCCACACGATCCTGATCAGCACTAAACAGGAAATCCAAAGCTCTTCTAGATCATTTCAAACAAACTCCATGATGACTTGACCTTGGTGAGGTGTTTTTCTTATAATGGATGGAAGTCTGGGCAATATCAAGCAAATAATAATGATCATGTGAGTTTCTGCCTTTTACCTTTACACGAAAACCTACAGTATTTTTGGCTCATGATACAAAGGCAGAGAACAGGAACTGACAAATAAGAGTCAAATTCCCATTTTGAGCTCAGTATTTTTTGTATACAAATATTTTTGATTTAATTTTGGGAGCACTACCCATTATACTTTTGTCTGAACAAAACAGAAACTTTGAAGTCATTTTTCCCAGTTTCACACAAGTTAAGCTCTTTTGCCTTTATCGGGCAGAATATTTCCTGTATTACCACGACATCACAAAGTGGAACAGTTGTTTTCAGTTTGAGAGATGAACTCAGCCTAAATATGCAGGATTTCTGTATTAAATATGTGTGAATGAAACAAAACACAACTCCAGGTCTGTTTGTGATGAGAAAACTACATTAGAAAATAAATCAGAAAATAGCGTAATATTCCTCATCTAAAACATCACTGGAGTTGTGTTTAGTTTCATTCACACATGTTTAACACACAAACCCTGCATATTTAGGCTGAGATCTTCTCTCAAACAGAAATGCACTCTGCTCCACCTTGTGATGTAATGAGGTAATACAGGAAGTGCTCCACTGTGTTTTTAAACTCCATACACCTTCACTAGAATCATTTGGATCATTTCAGCCCTGGAATTACTATTTTTATATATAATATATATATATCTACCTATATACATATTTATTATTTATTTATTGCTCATGCTATTATTTTGTTGGCGTCAACATCAACAAGGAACAGGAAGAAGATACAGTAAGTCTTATAAACCCTGTTCCTTTCACAGATCAAAAAAATTAAATTTAATTGTTCCCAGTCCCAAAAACCAAACCAAGTAACCAATCAACGAGCCATATGCATGTTACAGTATCTCTCTTGTGCTTTCATTAACTTTAAACATTTTGCTTAGTCACATAGTCCATTATTTTAACCTTGCACATTTTCTTGAATTTAGAAACACTAGTGCAACTTTAAAATCATGATTTAACTAGTGACTCCATATACAGAGACACATTTCTGTTTTAATGTTGTCCTTGAGAATACAGTTTGGAAAAAAATATTGTCTTCTATGGTCACAGTCCTCCGAGACAAACGTAAAAAGATTTTGTAGAGCTTCGGGTAAATGTCTTTGGCTCTCCACAGAACTAATACAATCTTAAGATTAACTAAGTCTTTAATCTTTAGTTGATTAGACTTTACAAACAGTGGTACAATCTCTTGAACTATAGGTAAAAGGCAGCAGTTAACTTAAACTACCACTTCATGACATCACAAGGTGGAACAGATGTAGACAGACTAAAAATAAAGGTTAGTCAAACGTGTGAATGAAACAGAACACAACTCCAGGTATGTTTTTGAGGAGGTAACAACATTCTAACATCTAAAATAGGACCTTTAAAGTTGTTGTTGGATGTCCCAGGTCCCAGGCTGGAGCATGAGTGTGCGGATGGGGGTGCTCCAGTACAGCAGCTCTGTGTCTGTGGAGCGGCCCCTCTCTCTGTGGACGGGCCTGGACTCTTTTCAGGACTCGGTCAGCTCCATGCACTACATCGGCCACGGCACCTACACCAGCCACGCCCTGAGCACCGCCTCCACCCTGCTGCTGAGGGAGAGCCCGGCACACAGGTGGGGAATACTCTCTCACATTTACTTACTCTTTGGTTCTTTTTAAAGACAGTACAGTAAAGTGTATTCACCTTGTTGACATGTTTCGGCTGCTGCTACTGCTGTTATGAATTACTGGTCGGACCCAAATATGCAGAAACAAAAGATATTTATTAACAAAAATAGTCTTGGAAAGGGGATAGGTTCCAGGGGAGGCAGGACGGGTTCAAGTCGGCTGCAAATGCGAGGTATGTGGTGATGAGGCTGACCAGAGGCTTGCGGAACAGGTGGCAACGGGATGAGGCTGGCTCCAACCGGAAGAACTGGGGATCGGACAAAAGAAACTGGTAAGAGTCAAAAAAAATCTACAGAGTGCTCGAAAAACACACGAAAAAAAGCCTGAGTTGTTCACCACTGAAATGACAGAACAATCTGGCACTGGAGAGCAGGTCAGCAGGTTTCTTATGGCAGGCGATGATTGCTTGATGGGAAGCTCAGCAGGTGTGATGAATAGGGGACCCGCCCAGGAAATGCCAAATAAGGTGAGGAGAGAAGGGAAGAGGGAGCAGGGAAAGGAGGGGTAGGACGGGCAGAAAGAAACCCTCACAACTGCATCTTCAGAACTGTCCTCAGTGCTGGTGGTGACGTGTTGTATATCAGCTGTTGTTACTTCCTGTAGGCGAAACATGTCCGTGAAAAGACACAACATAAGCACTGGAGTCAAACCATTCACAAAACTCTGCCAACAGCTCGTACACCCCAAAGATAAAATCCCACAAGAAAAAAAGAGCAACACCATCTATGAAATCCAATACAAATCATGCAATAAATCATACATAGGGGAAACGGGCCGGGCATTTCACATCCGAAGAAAGGAACACCAAAAGGAATGTGAAAAGGAAACATCAGGGAGACTCACCAGAACACACAGGAAAGCCTAAAATCCGCCATATCAGAGCAAAAGAAATAACCACATTCTGGGTCGGGACGAATCAGGAAGGACACAGAAATCAGGAACGTAGGCACAGACAGCTTTAACCATGATGCCGGAGCGTTCCTCCTTTCACACACCTGGGACACCCTCCTCTAGAGAACACCGAGCGACGGGAGGCGTGGTCAGTCTGAGCGACCTGCCACACCTTCCGAGAGTAACAACAGCTGATATACGACACGTCACCACCAACGCCGAGGACAGTTCTGAACATGCAGCAGCCGAAACACGTCAACGAGGTAAATACACTTTACTGCACAAAATGAACATCTTTGGCTTAACAGTGGAGCACTTCCTGTATTGCCACATGACATCACAGGGTGGAACAGAGTGCTTTATGTTTGAGAGAAGAACAAAGCTCAAATTGACAATGACCATCATTAAGGACAACATAAGACACTGTAAAATAAACAAGCTGCAAAGAACTGAAAGTTCAAAGAGCATTTGTTTAAGTTTAACAGTTTGTGGGTAGAAGCTGTTATCATGGCAAGAAGATCTTATTTAGACATTATTTGAAATGTTTTTTGTTTGTTTATTTATTTATTTATATCATAAGTCAACGATACCATGATTTTTTTTTTATGTTTTAAGTTTTTACAAATAAATGGTTCTCTATAATGACTGTTGGTGATAATTCTTAATAGTGCACTATGTAACATTTTGGTTGGGGGTCTGTCAACTGCTTATTTCTATGGATATGTCAATGCTTTGCCTAGAATGTTCCACAGTATGACATTAAACTACCTTACGTTTATTCAGTTACAGATGGTTTTATAGCTGAAAAAACCTAGAAAAACTGGCATTGTGACTGTGAGCGGGATCGCCTCTCCTCAGATCTGAATTGTAACTTGGTCTGGTTTGGTCTTCAAGAAGGTTAATATGAAACATTCCAGACAAAGCAATAACATCTCCATGGAGAAAAGCAGGTGACAGACCCTCCACCAGAAAAGTTACACAATGCACCTTTAAGTACAAGAAATAACTTTTCTTTTACTCTTACTTGAGTACTATTTTTGACTACCCCACTCGCCTCTGTCCCTGCCCGTAGCGTCCGAGTGCTGCTGCTGATGACTGACGGCCTGGACCATCCGCGCAGCCCCGACGCCGTCTCCGCTGCAGAAGAGGTCAAAAGCCACGGGGTCAAAGTCTTCACCGTGGGGCTGTCCAGCATGGCCCAAAGAGGTCACAACAACGCCAGGCTCAGGACCATGGCCAGCTCCCCCCCTCAGCAGTTTGTGCACAGTCTGCTGGATCCCAACCTGGAGGAGAAGCTGCTCACTGAGATGGTAAGAGACTAGACAGGAAAACTTGACTCTTGTGAGCTTTAAGTCATGTTATAATGCTGTTATCTTGTAACCGCTAAGGGCTTGACCGCTCCAAGCAGCAGGTATTATGGTATATCACCAGAGAACTATGGACAGCTAAGTTTAGTTTTAAGGGTTTTATTCACAATAATCCACAACCAGTTAATTTAAAAGGGGAATCACAAAGCACAAGGGAGTTTGTCAAAAGTTTAAAAACCTTTCAGAGCTAGTCCAGAGGTCCGGGCATTTAGTAGGGCTAGCGGGCAAGCATTTGACAGCTGGCATGGCCGGGGTGGCATCTTGTCCCCAGCGTGCCCCAGTTTCATCCACAGAGCGGCCAACACATCTTAAGACTGCCCAAGGACCTCACCTGAACATAGAAACAGCGGGTTGTGAGACAGACATTCAGTTAAAACAAAATGAACTCCAGTTAAAAACTCGAATTTAACATTAACTCCTTTAATATTTTTGATGAGTCCTTTAGGTGCCATGTGGTGAGCTGCTTCTTACTAACCTGAACAAAGAGAGAACAGGGTGTGAGAGAGAGTGAAGGAGAAGGTTCACAGAAAAAAAAAAAAAAAAAAAAAAAAAGGAAAAAAACCACACAAAGAAAAAACACACCCATTTAAAGTGGCAAAGGAACAATACTATTAACCCTGTAACAATCTCATCAAAACAGACCTGGAGTTGTGTTTTGTTTCATTCACCCATGTTTGAGTAAGTCTTTATTATCAGTCTGTCTCCATCTCAAATGGTTCTCTTCCACCTTGTGATGTCATAACGTGGTAGTTTGCAAGTCATCAGCTACATTAGACCTTTTATTTAGTAGTCATTGGCAATTCTAGGGCTGAAATGATCCAAATGATTTTAGTGAATCTGTGGAGTTTTAAAACACAGTGGAGCACTTTCTGTATTACTACATGACATCACAAAGTGGAACTTTTTTGTTTGAGAGAATAAGTCTAAATATGCATTACACGTGTGAATGAACCAAAACACAACTTCAGGTCTGTTTGTGATGAAGAAAAAACATTATAACATTGGGATTGATTTAAAAATAGTGTAATATGTTTATGTGCAATAAAACAAGTTTAAATTCCAAAATATATATGAATTTTTGCTGGACTGAAAATCCCAAATTCCATTCCATAATTCTCACATTTTTTTTCTTTTTGTGATTCTTTTAGAGGGAGGTGGCGACAGAAGAGGTATGTATTTGTCCACACTGCGGTCTTCATCATTTGACTTGAATTCTGATGGTATAAAACAGCATTACTCTTTAATAGGCCTTTCATGATAACAAATTTTGTCCCACATTATGGCATTAAACTTGTAGCAGATCCCTCTGAATGAAGACTGACACTTAAACTGGTGATTTTGGGGTTTAATAGCAATAAATCCTCCAATCTGCCTTAAGAACTTTGTGCCTCTTCAGGGGGGAAGCTAAACAAAGGCATAGAAAATATCTGAAAATATATATATGTAAATATAAATATTTTGCCATTCTCGATGTCAAGCTAATTAAACATTTTTACACTAACTGGAAATACACCCTTCAAAATAAAAGTGCTAAATGTAAATGTGAAAGTTAATGGTTAGCAATAGAAAATAGACTGCAATATAAAAATAATTTTAAAATGTCACAAAGGTTTTAATCAAGGCAAATTATATTCTGGGTTATTTACAAAACTTATCTATTTCCATGGAGACAAGACAGGTGAGATCTGCAGAGAGAAATGTCTCATGGATGAGTTTAATGCTGTACTGTGAAACCTGTCAGGCAAAGCAATACTATTTCCATGGAAACAAGCGTGTGGTGGACACCCTACCAGAAAAGTTACACAGTGCACCTTTAAGTACTCTACACAGAAAAATAACTGGGTTGTCTTTACTTTAATTAATAGGAATTTTAATAGGTTTCTTATAATATGTTTTCCAATTTTCCAAACATTGACAGGTATCTTCTTTAGTCCCACTCACACTTTTAACTGTGTGCTGTTGTCTTTTTAGTGTGTACATGTACATGTGTGTCTATGCCAAAGAGGAGAGCGAGGGCCTCCGGGAAGTCTGGTGAGTGGAAATGTTCTTATGATGTTTGCAGTTTGATGTATGGTGAGGTTCTCTTCTGTAAGTGTAGCCCGCCAAAGATCATAAGGCAAGAGACTTTAAACACACTTAGGAGAAATTGTTTTTAAACTGTCCTATACTACACAAAATTGACTCTTATGAAATTTTAGCCATGTTGCTTCCTCACCAAAACAGACCTGGAGTTGTTTTGTTTCATTCACACAGGTCTGAGTAATCCTTTATTATTAGTCTGTCTACATCTCCAAAGCTCAAAATGTTCTGTTCCACCTTGTGATGTCATGTAGAGGTAGTTACAACTACCTTTTACCTGTATTTCAGTAGAGATTGGCAATTCCAGGTTTGAAGTTATCCAAATGTATGGAGCAGTTTCTCCAAGGCTGCGCGTTCAGTCCTCAGCTCTTCACCCTGCTGACACATGACTGCACGACAGCCGTGTGAAGTTCGCCGGACGACACAACTCTGATGGGTCTCATCACCAAGAGCGACTACAAGAAAGAGTCAGAACTTCTGACCTTGTGGGGCAGAGACAACAACCTCCAGCTGAATGTCAGCAGGACTAAGAAGATTGTTGTCGACTTCCAGAGAGGCCACACCCAGCGCCTGCCACTGACCATCGACGGTGTCACTGTGGCGAACGTGAGCAGTGCTAAACTCTTGGAGGTGCGCATCAGTGAGGACCTCTCCTGGACCAACAATGTATCACTGGTGAAGAAAGCCCAGCAGTGCCTTTACTTCCTGCAGAAACTCAAGTAGGCAAAGGGCTTACAGTTGTGAGTGATGCAAGTCAAACTGCACACAATCTGTTCAGCCTCCTGCCGTCCAGCAGGAGGTACAGGAGCCTCTGTTCCTGCACCACCAGACTCACTAACAGCTTCCTCCACCAGTCTGTTAGTCAATTTAAAAAACCTGTATCACCATATGACATCACACAGTTGAACAGAGTGTTTTCTGTTTGAGAGAAGAACTCAGCCTAAATATGCAGGGTCAGTGTATTAAACATGTAAATGAAACACAACTCCAGGTACTTTTGTGATGAGATACATTTGTGATGAGGAAACTCCATTATAACATAGATCAAAAATAGTGTGCTATGGAACTTAAGTGCCACGGTTAATCAATGATCAATTCCTATTTGCAGGGTATAAAAGGCGAGCCAGGCTACACTGGGGCGCCAGGTCCAAAGGGGTCCAGGGTAAGACGGGCACAGATGAGTCACACATGTGTGTGTATCATAGACTGTATAAAGAAGTGGACTAAGGGAGTGTGACGTCACCCATAGTGTTCAGCTCCAGTCAAACGAAGCTCACAGACGCTGGCGGGTATAGGAGTGAATTTGGAGCCAAGGTGCATATTAGGAATTTATTTACAGACACAATAGCGAAACAAAAACACCAGGATCGTGTAGGGCGGGTTAATACGGACATTTTAAGACAAAAATGACGAAGCTCACTTTTTCAAATTTTCAATGTAAAGTCAATTGGAAATAGTCATTGGAGCTGTAAGTGCCACCGGAAGTGCCACCGGAAGTGCCACCGGAAGTGCCACCGGAAGTGCGGATTGGCTCTGTCCATTTATATATACAGTCTATGGTGTGTATGTGCTCATGTCCATGTAACTGTGTGTATCTTTGTATGCCTCTTGAAGGGGGAGCTGGGGCGCAGTGGGACTCCTGGGAGGGACGGTCTGGAGGTGAGCTGTTTCTAACTGCATGAGCTTTTGCCTGTTAATGCTTTCGTTAATATTTTTGTTTTTAAAGGGTCTCCATGGTTACAAGGGCAGCAAGGTGAGCTCATCTTTTTCACTGTACTGTTATATTGTCTTTGTTTTATTGTATTTATTTATACATATTACACTATTTTCTGATCTACGTTATAATGTTGTTTCCTCATCAAAAACAGACCTGGGGTTGTGAGAATGAAACAATACACAACTTCAGGTCTGTGTTTGAGGAGGTAAAAGCATTCTGAAGCTCACAAGAATCAATACTCCATAACACAGGATCTTTAAAGGTGCATTGTGTAACTTTTCTGGTGGAGAGTCTGTTTTTGAGCTATAAACCCACCAATGATTTAAAAAATGTAAGGAAGAGTTGTTTAATGTCATACTGTGGAATATTCCAGGCAGAGCAATGACGTCTCCATAGAAACAAGCATGAGACGGACCCAAACCAAAAAGTTCCGTATTTCACCTTTAAGTTTGCTTATTGTTGATTGGATTTTTTTTTTTTTTTTAATGCCCAATATCCATAGTCCCTGAATTGTGAATACCAAATAAATTTACATAAAAACTACACCAAGATTTATAATCCATGTATTAAGTTGTATTTCTGTAAATTGTATTGAATTCAAATATTACTTTATTAACACCCAGTTTTGTGTTGTTGTCACACAAGATGTTGTTGTTTCAGGGAGAGCGAGGAGATTGTGGAGCTCCAGGACCAAAGGGTGACCCTGTATGATTGAGAACACAGTACATATATACATACATACAAATACCTATACATACAGTGCTCACAAAATTAAAGGAACACTTTGAAAACACATCAGATCTCAATGTGAAAAAAGAAATATGGTGGATATCTATACAAATATGGACAAGGTAATGCCTTAGGAACAAAAGGATGCCACCTCTTTTAATGGAAATTAAATGTTCAGCCTACAGAGGGCTTCAGTTTATAGACACTCTGAAAATCAAAGTGAAATCATGATGTGGCAGGCGAGTCCATCAAATTAAATTTCTGCATCTCAAGATGCTTCTCAGTCTCTTGTGTGGCCCCCATGTACTTGTGTACATGTTTGACAACATCATGATATGCTTCTAATGAGACGACCGATAGTGTCTTCTGGGATGTTCTCCTAGATCTGTGTGAGGGCATCTCTGATCTCCTGTAGAGTCTGAGGAGCAACCTGGAAGCATCTGAGGAACCCAAACATAATGTCCCAGAGGTGTTCTATTGGGTTTAAGTCAGGTGATTGTGAGGGCCATTTATTTGTGTCAGTCCCTTTTACAGCCCTGTCCTGCTCTTCTAGAGGAACTGCCTGTCTCCTGAAACCTCCTCCGTGTTCTGGAGATTGTGCTCTATATTTTTGCAACAGCACGTCCCAATCTGTGCAACTTCTATAGGGTTAAGGAATGGCCTCATACACCCAGTAGTGATAATCACTCTAGCCAAAGCAGCACTAGTGGAAAACCAGCCAAAAAACACCAAGAAAGAGAAATTTGAAGTGACCTCCACATATAAAACCAGTCCTGTTTTAGGGTTTTTCTCATTGTTGTCACTCTACTGCACCTGCTGTTTATTTCCATTAAAAGAGTTGGCTTTCTTTTGTTGCCCTGTCCATATTTGTAAAGATATCCAACATATATTTTTTCACATTGAGATTTGATGTGTCCAGATGATAATGTTCAAAGTGTTCCTTTACATTTTTTGGGCAGTATTTATTCACCTTATTCGGCACAGCCAACTTTTGTCTCCTTTTTGTGGTGGCACTTTCATTTCTCAAATTTCAGAGAATTTGAGAAAAGTTTTGCTAATTAAATATGATATACAGTCGGTTCATTTATGTATTGTTCATGTGACCAACATGTCACACTGCACTGATTCTCTCGAGGCTTTAAAACAATTTTATATTATATCGTCTCCATACAAAATAATACAACCCCAGTGATGATGGCAGCGCCCACGGCAACTTCTGGAATAAGGTGGATACATGACCAGTCAAAAGTTTGGTCACACCCTCTGATTCATTGTTTATTTTCTTTTTTTCTATTTCAACTTTCTACATTTTAGATACATACAGAAGACATCACATATACAAACCAAGATATATGGAATTAATTAGTAAAGAAAAAGTTAAATAACCCTACCCTATTTTGTCTGGAATGTTTTACAGTACGGTTTTAAACCTTTCTATCTTCTTGGAGACCAAACCAGACCAATTTACACAAGTTACTACAAGTTAGTCGTACTGTGGAACATTCCAGGTAGAACAACAACATATTCATAGAAACAAGCAGGTGAAAGACCCCCAAAATAATAATATATATTTTTTTTTTTTTTCTTTGCTAGATAATTTTGTACATCTTCATATAGTTGATGTCTTCTGTGTGTATATCAAAGTAAACAGAAAAAAAAACATTGAATGGGGGTGAGTCCAATCGTTTGCCTGGTAGTGTAAATACTACAGTAGAAAACAGCTGGAATTCACTGTCATGTATCAAAAGGGAACTGACATGTTTTTTCAGGGCTCAGAAGGACCTCCAGGCCCACGAGGACCCAAGGGAAATCAGGTAGACAAGACACTGTACTCACTGTTTATGTGTTAACATGATGTTAGATTTAAGAAGGGGCATTGTGTAACTTTTCTGGTGGAGGGCTTGTCAAATGCTTTTCTCCATGGAGATGTTATTGCTTAGTCTGGAATGTTTCACAGTATGGCATTAAACCTTTCTATTTTCATGGAGCCCAAACTAGACCAAGTTACAGGTCACTCAATTCAGAATGCCAAGGTATTTTTGATTTATAATAATACCTGTAACTGAAGATAGAGATGTTTAATGTCATACTGTGGAACATTCCAGGCAGAGCAACAACATAACCATAGAAACAAGCAGGTGCTGGACCCTTCACCAGCAAAGTTACACAATGCACCTTTAAGTACTAGAGCTTGGCAGGTAGCTATGTCATCTTTTAGCCAAAAATAAAAACATAAAAATAAATTAAGTTTTTTCATGTTTACTGCAATGAAAAACTACTTAATGTGAGTGGGCTTGCACCTCCACAAACCTAACTCTTATTTGGCCTCAGAGGAGTGCCTTCTTCATCTTGTTTCCATGGAAATGGTGTTCCTTTGGCTATAATCTTACACAGTATGGCATAAAATGTCTCTCCATGGAAAATGTTCCGAAGTATGGTTTTAAGTTTTTATGTCCATGGAATCATACAGGTGACGTGTCACCTCCAGAAAGTTACATACTGTACAATATTATAAATATTATGTACAAACAGTATTAAGAGCAAAGAGTATCGAATTCATAGGTTGTAAAAGTAAGTTGCAAAAAACGTTATAGGGAGTATTATGTGCTCCATAAAGACGAGTTGTTGTACAGTTGTAGGGAGTATTATCTGCTCCATAAAGATGAGTTGTTGTACAGTTGTAGGGAGTATTATCTGCTCCATAAAGATGAGTTGTTGTACAGTTGTAGGGAGTATTATCTGCTCCATAAAGATGAGTTGTTGTACAGTTGTAGGGAGTATTATCTGCTCCATAAGGGTGAGTTGTTGTACAGTTGTAGGGAGTATTATCTGCTCCATAAGGGTGAGTTGTTGTACAGTTGTAGGGAGTATTATCTGCTCCATAAGGGTGAGTTGCACAGTTGTAGGGAGTATTATCTATTACATAAGGATGAGTTGCACAGTTGTAGGGAGTATTATCTATTACATAAGGATGAGCTGGACAGTTGTAGGGAGTATTATCTGTTCCACAAGGGTGAGTTGTACAGTCTTAGGGAGTATTATCTGTTCCACAAGGGTGAGTTGTACAGTCGTAGGGAGTATTATCTGTTATGTAAGAGATTTTTCACAGTCCATGGTCCAGTTCTAGTCCCTTTTGGATTCTAACTGAATGAAGAAGGGGCTGGCTGGTCAGGCAAGTGCTCTGGTGCTCTGTGGGAATGCAAGGCTGGTCTGGAGGTAATCCTGGTGCTACAGTGGGCTGATCCTGGCTGTGGGAGAGTACCCGTCTGCTGGGACAGCCTTTGTGTGGGACCCTCCAACTGTGTGATTATAGGTGCTCATTCCCAAACACTGAACCCTACCATGGACTTTCAAATACAATACATCTGTAGTGAGTCCTGGGTCATTCACAGTTCAGACTGGAATGAACCGTTATGGAGGAATATGTTAAAAGTACACTGTGTAACTTTTTTGGTGGGGGGAATGACACCTGTTTGTTCCATCGAGATGTTAGACTTAGAAGAGATTTAGACACATTGTTTTTGATCCACAAGGGAAATTATTTGGACACAGTAGCTCACACATCACCATATAATATAATAACAAAGATTAAAAAATATAACTGGTAATAATACACCTAAATAAATAGCAAAAATAGCAAGAGACTGGTGTCAAATAAGACATAATTATATAAATGTAAAAGTACAAGTAAAAAAATATATATATATTTGAATAGAGTAATACAAAGAAATCACAGCTATATACAAGAGACTGTAAGGAGAAAACAATATAAACAATGTATCTTTAACTCTCCAACTCTGTCACCTTTACTGTGTCAAGGAGAAAATTCAGTTTGTCGACTGGATTAAAGTTTGTTTGGTTGAAGACGTTTTGCAGCTCATCCAAGCTTGGCTCAACCAAACTAACTTTTGTCCAGTCGACAAACTGAATTTTCTCCTCGACATGGATTGTACCTGGACGACTGAGGGATTCTTCACACATCTTTCACCTTTAATCACCCCATTATGTATTACTTAGGTTTTTGTACTTTAAATTAATTCTTGTAACTTAAAATAAATATTCTACTGTTTTCAGGGAGCTGTGGGTTCACCAGGAGATGTAGGTCCTGAGGGAGCACCAGGTTCTAAGGTACCACTACAATAATACTCAACATTTTGATTCATTTAAAGGTGCACTGTGTAACATTTCTAGTAGAGGGTCTGTTACCTGCTTGTCTCCATGGAAATGTTAGTGCTTTCCCTGGAATGTTCCACAGTATAGATTCAGTTATCACCAGGGAGACAAGCAGCACTACGCTACATTACAGTGCAGATCTGTGGAGCGTCGCCCCTATTCACAGAAGGAATTATTGTGCTTTTGAGCAATAGAAATACCTGTAATGAATAAATGCTAGATGGATATGTTTAATGTCATACCATGGAACATTTCAGGCAAAGCAATAACATCTCCATGGAGACAAGCAGGGAGCAGACTGAGAACATGATTTTATAAAGTAGTCTTGAGCTGCTCATTTACAGAAAAAAACATTATCACGATTATTTTGGTCAATATTGAAATCACAATTATTCAAACAATTATTATTTAGTTACATGATGCATTTCTTCAGGATTTCTCTCTCTCTCAAAAAACAAACAAAACACTTTGTTCTTGAAATTTTTATTTTTTTTATTAAGGACAACAGAATATAACATTAAAAAAATACAACGATGAACATTTAATAATTACAATAATCAACATAAAACAAAACACCAAAACATAAAGCAACACCCACAACACATACAAAAAAACAAAACAAAAAAAAGCCCATATTTCCCCCGACCACACACACAAATCTGGCTATTAAACAAAAGTAATATGGTAGTGCAACATAAACACACTGCTAGGCCACCCTACACACTGCGACTAATTAAACAACTGAAATTCCTTTTCTCTCTTTTTCTTCCTTCCTTTTTTTTCTTTTCCCTCTCCCATTTAAAAAAAATTAAAAATTGTCCCTGTATTTAAACTAATATTATTTTCACCATCATCATTTTTTCTCATTTATTACAAACTCAAATCATAATATTAAAGAATTTTTTTTCCTTCCCCATTTTTATTATTGATATTTTTGTTATTGATAATTTATGCAAAACTTGCAAAACTCAAATTGGAAAATAAATATAGGTTACAAATACATACCTCTTTGCGATGTATAAAACCTAAAATGAATAAAATATACTTTGAACATGAAATACGGCATAGAAAAACATAAATGTATCCAAAATAAACTATATATCCAGCTGTTCTACAATCTCTATATTTAAAAAATTAAATAAATATACTTATTTATAGTCGATTATATGAGTATGGAGATTGTTTGACACACAAATCGAAATCGCAATCAAAATTCAATTAATTGCACAGCCTTAAGTCTTACAGTTGAATTGTTGTTCTCTACATATGTTAAAAGTCAGAGTCAGCCCTCTGCGTGGGCCTGTATCTGTGTTTAACGTAAACAGACATAATTGAGCTGCGCATTCTCCAGTTACTCCAGAGTCTCACGAGGACCCCCAATGGTGTATATGTAATGGAGTATATATATGTGTGTTGTCTCTTGTGACTGCCTTATGTCAAACTTAGCCTGTAAAGTGGAGCATCCTGATGAGTAAACTTCTAATCAAGCATCTCATTATACAACAATAGCATTACTTTTAAGTTACTCTCACCAAAATAGCGAGTGATAATGCCGAACTTCTGAGCCGTATATGGACTCAACCAGGACTAAACCAGATCCAAACCAGGTCTAAACCAGGACTGAACCAGGACTAAACCAGGACTGAACCAGAAGGACTGATCCAGGACTGAACCAGAACTAAACCAGGACTGAACCAGGACTAAACCAGGACTGAACCAGAAGGACTGATCCAGGACTGATCCAGGACTGAACCAGAACTAAACCAGGTCTAAACCAGGACTGAGTCAGGAGGACTGAACCAGGACTGAACCAGGACTGAACCAGGACTGAACCAGGACTGAACCAAGGACTGAACCAGGACTGAACCAGGACTGAACCAAGGACTGAACCAGGACTGAACCAGGACTGAACCAGGACTGAACCAGGACTGAACCAAGGACTGAACCAGGACTAAACCAAGGACTGAACCAGGACTGAACCAGGACTGAACCAGGACTGAACCAAGGACTGAAGCAGGAGGACTGAACCAGAACTAAACCAGGTCTGAACCAGGTCTGAACCAGGACTTAACCAGGACTGAACCAGGTCTAAACCAAGTCTAAAGCAGGTCTAAACCAGGACTGAACCAGGACTAAACCAGGTCTAAACCAGCACTGAACCAGGACTAAACCAGTTCTGAACCAGGACTGAACCAGGACTAAACCAGGTCTAAACCAGGTCTAAACCACGACTAAACCACGACTAAACAAGGACCAAACCAGGACTAATCTTGGACTAGGACTTGGAATCTAGGACCACCTCTGAGAGAACCCCGAGCCCGTAGAACAAGGTGTCTGCAAAGCGTGATCGGGCGTCAGCTGCGATTCGCCCCGTGGAGCGTGGTGTTCTGCGCCGGTCCTTTCGCCCGCGCTCACCCAATGGTCTACGAGGGCACATCTCCGGCCCATCCCAACACTCGTAACCGTAACGATGGCGTTTCACCGCTGCTGATATGGCGGTGACTTTAGCAAATTTGTATGAAGAAAAACAAAAAACCCGCCATCAAATACTTTTCTCCATGGAGATGTTATGTACAGTATGATATTAAACCTTTCTATCTTCATGGAGACCAACACAGACTAAGTTATAGGTCAGATCTGTGGAGAGGCGACCCCGCTCACAGTCAAAATCCCTGTTTTTCTAGGTATTTTGGAGCTATATAACCACCCTTAATTGAATAAATGTAAGGTTGAGCTGTTTAATTTCATACTGTGGAACGTTTCAGGCAGAGTAGTTAGAAACAAACAGATGATGGACCCCCAACCAAAAAGTTACACAATGCATCTTTAAGGTACTGTAAGGTTCAGTTGTAACTTCAGAGTAACTTTTTAAAACATTTAGAGGGCAGCCTACGCTTTAAGCTGATGCACAGTCCAAACGTCGAGATCACAAAAATAATGTCTCTTTTCATGTACGTAATCCTTGAATAAAGCATTGTGTTGTTGCAGGGAGAGCGAGGGCCCAGCGGAGCTTCAGGGCCTCAGGGGGACAGTGCCATCGGCTTCCCAGGACCCAAGGTGATCTGTAAACCAGTCCTCTCTTGGCACAAACTTAGACTTAGACTTAGACTCAGACTTAGACAAACTTTATTGATCCACAAGCAAAATTATTTGGACACAGTGGCTCATTCTAGGGACGGTACAAGATCTCATGCCACAAGATCTCGTGAGACAAAATTGGCACAAGATCACACCCACAAGAGAAAAATTATCTCTTGAGTTTTTTTTCCCAAGTGTTTATCTTTGGACTGGACAAAAAAGGGTTATATGTTGGTGAGTTACAGCTCTTACTGTTCCAAAAAGCAGTAGTCAAGTAATCAAACATAAATCATGTACCGAAACATATTAAATTGCCTTTTAAACAAAAATACAAGTGAATTATTATGAATTGTTAATTATATGCAAATATGTAAACCTTATGAAATGGTGCTTACAAAAAGAAATGTGGGGCGAAAACTGGAAACTGAATCGTGAAATGTATTTATTAGAAATAATGTTAAACTCGTCCTGTCCTGTCTCGTGGACCCAGTGTCATATCATGTCTCGTCTTGTGGAAGTTGTGTCTCATCCCATCTCTAGCTCACACATCACATTATATTACAATAACAAAGAGTAAAAAATATGAAAATGGTAATACAAAATTCTAGCAATAAAATACCAAGAGACTGCTGTCAATAAGGCACAATTATATATCGTAAATGTATATGTACAGGTAAAGTAAAAAAAATGAAATATAGTAATCTAAATACAGTATATCACAGTTATATATGAGGGGTTATAAAAAAAATAGTGCAAGGATGATGACTGACAGAACATAAGCTTACTGTATGTGTTATATTAGGGTGAGTTGTTGTACAGTAGAACTGTAGTGCTCAGTTACACGTACTTGAGTCACTTTTTTTACTACATACTTGTTTTGAAGTAACAGTACTCTTACTTAAATAAAAGTTGTGGTTCCTCTTCCCACTGTGAGCAAGTCTACAAGGGACAAAGCTTTATGTTGGCAAAATGAAATGATTTGAACATGTGTGTTTTCTTGTACCGCTCCTTCAGTTATGATTTAGTTTGTCAAATTTTTGTGTTTAATCTTTAAAAATACCAGATTTTGTCCTTATAATGAAATCAACTTCCAAACATTTACTCTTACTTGAAGAGTAGTTTCCTAAAATAGTTTTCACAGTCATGTCTTGCAGCTCCTTTGTGCTTTTATTAGTTAAAGGTTGTATAGAGGATTTTCCAAGGAACGAGAAATCCAGCGACTGTTTGTCCTTTTTCAAATGTTGCGCATGCGTGAAACCACCCCCCCTCCCCTACAGCTCCCTACGTAGAAACGCCTCCTCCCGCCTCCTCTTTACGCCAGAAACAGGTTTGTTTACAGCCGGTGCTGCACATGACTTGTAAACAACTAACTACAGTGTTGGTTAAGCAAGACGGAGAAGTGAGGAGCGGGGGGAGCGGGTGTGCGGACATTTCGTTCGCGGACGAGAAGTGAGGAGCAGGAAGAAGAGCGGAGCAGGGAGAGGAGAGAGGAGAGGGGAGCGGTGCGCGGAAATTCTGTGCCCGGAGAAGTGAGGAGCAGGGGGAAGAGCGGAACGGGCAGTGGGGACAGGAGCAGGAAAGAGAGCAGAGAAGAGTGCGCGGAGATTCAGTGCGAATGAACTAGCTACAACACGCAGCAGCAAGCGGACTCTTTCTTTGCCTTGAAAATTACGTTTTCAGACATAGGATATCGCTTTTGTGTCCTGAAAAACGTTTGACTAGCTCTTGGAAATAAAGTACATTTTCATAATAAGCAGAAGTTTCCTGTCCAGGAGTAATTTGTGGACCAGTGCGTCAGTCTTTAGACCCTGCGTCTGCTTCAGTCGCGCCATCGCTGGAATGAATCTTCAAGAATCACCTTAGTTTGGCTTCGCTGCTTTTCCCCTTGTCTTCTTCTTTCAGCGACCTCAAAAACGGACTTTCTTTTGCGGCTAACTGCTCCTGGATTCTTGTCTGCCATTGCAACAAACTTTGTGCTAACTGCGAGGAAGATATAGGTCAAAAAATGCCGCTAAGAACTGTTGCGTTGGTGGAGTAAACAGCGTCTGTGCGGCTTGCGTCTGTGGACTGCGTGACAGGCGTACGTAAACCACGTACCGGCGGCGCGCAGGGAAGTCAGTTACGCTAGAAACGTAGGGAGATTGATTGACAGCCTGTCAGCTAACAGATAACGAGGCAGTGTCGTTATCTATTGGCAAATGTTTAGCTGGCCCCACCACGTCCAGTTGATGAATTTTTATTCTCTTTTTTTTGGTCATCATAATTACAAGGCTACTGCACCTCTATAATGCTATCATTGACAACTTGAAACAAAAAAAACCAAAAACAAAAATCCTCCATACAACCTTTAATATGATTTTGTTGAAACTTACTGGAGTAAGATTTTTGTGTACTCTGCCCACCTCTGCTTGCCTGTGTCTAACTATCTGTTGATGGAGCAGGGTGAGAGGGGCCTTCATGGCAGGCCGGGTCCCATGGGCGCAGTCGGTGTGGGAGACCCTGGACAGACCGTAAGTGTGCCAGCAGTAACAGAATTCTGTGCTTTGTTGTTGTATATTTTTAGTGACTTTTTAACATATATTTAATGTATATTTAGTATTTTGTGCTGCATTTTATATCTTGCCTGGGGACTACTTTTAATGTACAAATGTAACTGTTTTTATATTGCTATGATTGCTCTATTCATTTTATTTTTCTCACAGGGCCCCCCGGGGCCACCTGGAGCTCAAGGTAATCCTGGACCACCTGGAGATGGTCCTCCAGGGCCCAAGGCAAGTAGAATTCTGCCCACTTTAATTTTCACATATCCACCATTCTCAAACATTACAGGGAATAAAACATTCCAGACAAAGCAATAACATTCTCATGAGACAATCAGGTGGCAGACCCTCCACCAGAAAACGTACTTAGAGCTCCTTTATCAGATACATAATGAATTTTAATGATACAGTTGAAGACCACTGTGTCAGCTCCTCTTAGTTCATCTCCACTACAGGAGGACAGATTTGTTGATGTTATTTGGTCACAGCTCAGGTTCAGTTGTGATGGTACTTTATTTTTTAAATCAAAAACAAAAAATCAAAAACAAATCAAAATCAAAAACCAAAATCATGCTACAGGTCTCCAGGAAAAACAGTTGATAGATAAGGTCAATTAAATACAATCAATCAATGAACCTACCCAGGGACGACAGGTGGAAATTAGCACTGGTGCTACAACCTGGTACAATGCAGCTCTCCTGTTAAGGTTAATGTAGATTGTGCACTGTCCCTGTCTCATTAAATATATAAAGTAAATTAAACTAAAGTAAACTAAAAAGACCACATTCTCCATACTGTACCTATAGCAAAACTCATAATTCCTGGCTTTGTTTCTTGTATTAGGGAGATCGAGGATCTCCAGGTCCCAAAGGAAACAGAGGAGCTCTAGGTGTGGGTCTGAAAGGAGACCAGGTCAGACCTCTAGAACCTTTAAACCACTCATATATTGTGTGTTTGTGTGTAGTTAATATGAAGGATCTTGTGCGTCTCAGGGCGGCCGTGGACCTCCTGGACTCCAAGGTCCAACTGGTGCTCCCGGTGTCGGACTTCAGGGGGAAAAGGTGCAGTATGAGATCTTCACCTTAAAGATGTTCAGACATGAGACTGATCATTTCCTGTCTCCTCCAGGGAGAGCAGGGCGCAGTTGGAGCTCCAGGCCCCAAAGGAGCTGCAGCAACAGGAATACCAGGGCCTAAGGTCGCTCTGATCATCAACTTTATATTTAGTCAAATCTGTATGTCTCAGTTTATGGTTAACCAGACTAAAATTACCTCATGCCCTGTTTTTGCTATCATCAGGGAAATGTTGGACCTCCAGGTGAACAGGGTTTGCCAGGGGAGAGAGGTTTTGGTCAACCTGGGCCTAAGGTAAGCCCTCTGGACTTTCACATACTCTTATAGTTCTGTTCCTTTTGTAGTGTGAACACGCACAGATGTATGTGTAGGTCACTGATATTGAATGGTCTGTTTCTCCTTAGGGTGAACCTGGCTCAGAAGGAGCACCAGGTCGTCCTGGACCTCAAGGGCAGGATGGAGCTCCAGGTCAAAAGGTGCTGTTCTAAGTAAAACATTTTTAGACAAAAGACACTGACATTAACTGTGTGAAAACTGTGTCAGGGAGAGGCGGGGTTACCAGGACCACGAGGGCCAGACGGTGCTCCAGGTAAAGGAGACCCAGGACAGAAGGTATGACTGACACTGAAGTAACACTGAGTTGAGAACATTGAGTGTAAAACTGTAGTAAATCTATCTTCACTAACTCAGGGAGACCAAGGGCCCCGAGGGTCCAGGGGCCAGCCTGGACCTGTGGGACACAAGGGTCCTAAGGGCCCAAAGGTGAGAAACAGTGAAGGAAACATGTGTCAAAGGTAAACATCTGTCACAGGTGTCATTAGATCTGTTCACTCTCTTTCTACACCTGCAGTACATTTGGGATGTTTTATTGTAACAGCCTAAATGTTTAGATAGTATTATTTATGTGATTATATTATTACTTGTGTTAAAAGGGAGAACTAGGAGTTACTGGCCCTCCAGGACCCTCTGGAGCTCCAGGCAGGGGCCTCCCTGGAGCTAAGGTAAGCCCATAACTGACCATGTCTGTATTTAATGCGGGCTGTATTTTTAAAGATATTTTTGTCAGGGAGACCCAGGGCCCCAGGGTGCTGCTGGTGCAGAGGGGGAGCCTGGTATTGGAATCAGTGGACCCAAGGTGAGGTACTCTTAGGTGATAGGGGTCTGAGGTGATAGATATAATTTTATATCACATAATATAGTTTCAGAATATTATCATCATGGTTAATAAATGTCACAGGGGGACAGAGGAGCACCGGGACCCGCTGGAAGCCCTGGAGAGGAAGGAGAAGGGACCCCTGGCCCTCCAGTGAGTTCTTCTATAGTCCTTTAGTATCACCTCATCCACACTGTACAAGTATGCAGCTCTGTGGTGTTTTAGGGGCTACCTGGACCTCCAGGCCCAGGAGGAGAGCCTGGTCCTGATGGGGTTGGGTTACCTGGACCAAAGGTAAATATTGGGACACAATATAAGGCATAAACAGTAACAGTCCAGCTAATGGAGACCTGTGTTTAGGGAGAGAGAGGTTTCCCTGGCCCCTCGGGACCTGCTGGAGCTCCAGGCTCTGCTATGATTGGTCCAAAGGTATGTCTAATTGATATTGCTTTCACACAGTTGTTTTGATATATTTGATATGAGTGTGTGTCCACAGGGGTCACTGGGTCTGCCAGGTCGACCTGGACCCCAGGGTTTACCTGGAGAAGGTGTCCAAGGACAGAAGGTATGTCTGTCAAACACAAAGGCAATAGTCAGAGTCACCAAATATGATTCAGCGCTTTGAGTTTCCTGTTTTTGTCTTTGGAGTATATGTAGAGTCCTACTTTGACATGACAGGAAAAGAGGTTCTTAAGTTGACCATTTAAAGTAGGACTGGTGTGACTGTTGAACTGAAACTACTGCGTCTTACTATACTCAAGGGACTTATTCTATATAGCCTTACGTAAAACTATACACAACTTTTAAAAGAGTTGAGAATAAACCATTTTATACTCCATGTTTTATACACCATTATACTTCATGTGAATGCAGTGAATGTGTGCTTATTTTCAAGGGTGAGCCTGGGCGCCAGGGGGCCCCTGGTCCCAGAGGTCCTCCAGGACTTGGTCCACAGGGAGACCAGGTGACTTTGTATCATTATTGTAATGTTATTTATATCACAGATTATAGGCCATACACAGTCTAACATGCATTATGTCTTTAAGGGGGAGAGAGGACACAGAGGTCCAAAGGGCTCAAAAGGAGTCCGAGGTGAGCCTGGAGAGCCCGGTACTGAAGGACCTGTGGTAATTATTATTCCTCCGTTTTGTTTAAACTGATATGTTGATATATTATTTTAGTATATTTGTTTCTGAAACCAGTCTTTTCACATTGTGTCAGTAAAAATGTGTTGCTGTTTAGGGGCGAGTGGGAGAGAAGGGAGAGTCTGATCTGACAGTTAGTACATCCTCTGTATCAGTATTTTCATGTATCATCATCATCATCATGTGTTCATGTTTTTTTGTATTTACTCTCAGAGGGAGAAAATAGTTCAAATGGTGTTATCAATATGCAGTGAGTACTTATCTGTGATACAAGATTAACTTGAAACAACAGGAAATATTACATGTTTGTGTCTGTGTGTGTGTTTGTGTGTGTGTTTGCATTTTGTTTGTGTGTTCGTGTGTGCGTGTCAGGATGCGGGGTGCGTCTGTGCCGTTCCTCTCCTCTGGACCTGGTGCTGGTCGTGGACAGCTTGGAGCGGGAGGGCCCTGTGCAGGAGCTGGTTCTGTCCGTGCTACAGCGCTCGTCTGTGGGCCGCGACACCACACGAGTCGGAGTGGTCCTCCAGGGCAGTGCCCCCCACAGCCTGCCCCTGTCCTGGGACCTCAGCCAGCTCAGGTCAGTATCTATCTACTGGATTAAAACATTAACTAAACATGAACTCAAACTAGGGATGTAACAATATCCAAATGTCTCGATACAATATTTTCATGATAACTGTATGATATTTATTGCAATATTTTGGGAAGACTAGCAAAATTGTGAATATGATACTTTTCGGTCATAATCCAAATACTTAAGATGTAAAAGGGCTTCATCAAAGTTATTTCATCTGGACTGAAACAGAGCAAAGGATCATGGTCTATATAGTTCTGTTTTTTAGTTGTTGCTGCACCATAACAATGAATTTAAGGAAAGAAACATGTAATTCCATATACTGTGATGGCCCACAATATTATTGTGAGACTACGCTATCACGATATTTTGGTTATTGTTACATCCCTAACTAAAACAGGGTAAAAAAATTAAATGAAGCGTTGCTCCGCAGGTGGTTTGTGCTCTCCCTGCCCCACGCGACAGAGGACAGATCCACAGACAGGGCTCTGCTCCAGGCTCAGAGGCTGCTCCGGGAGGGCCGTGCGGGAGTGCACAGAATGGTGATGGTGGTGTCTGATGGGGCTGTGGAGAGGTGGGAAAGGGCAGTGATGGATGCATACGGCAGCAGTGGGGAGGAGGACTTGGTGGTGGCTGTGGTGAACAGGAAGGGAGGGGCCGAGGAGCTGCATCTGGTGAGCTCACAGCCCAAGAAGAACCATGGGATCAGACAGGAGAAGTTCATACATCTGACAGGTACCGCACAGGAGCTGTTTAGCAGGTTTCACATTGTAGACTCTAATATAGAAACTATTCTGGACACACCTGATTAAATGTGCATTCTCTCCATGGAGATGTTATTGCTTCTTCTATGTTGGTATGACGTTAAACACATATATCTATCATTGATTTCGTTACGGGTGTTTCTATTGCTCAAAAATACTATAATTCTGTCTGTGAATAGGGTTGCCTCTCCGCAGATCTGGCCTGTAATGTAGCTTATAGTTGTCTCCCTTGAGATAGATAGGTTTAAACTCTACTGTGGAACATTCTAGACAAAGCAATAACATCTCCATGAAGACAGGTGACGGACCCTTCACCAGAAAGATTGTGCAGTGCATCTTTAAAGTGCCCGTATTACACTATTTTCTGATCTATGTTATAATTCAGTTTCCTCATCACAAACAGACCTGGAGTTGTGTTTAATTTCATTCACACATGTTTAACACACACCCTGCAAATTTAGGCTGAGTTGGTCTCTCATATGGAAAAGACTCCACCTTATGATGTCATGTGATCATACATGTGTTTTTAAACTTCATACACAGTAATTTTGATGATTTTATCCCTGGGTATCTTATCCTTATCTCCTGAAAACTACTGCTTCATGACATCACAATGTGGAACAGAGTATTTTGAGTTTTGGAGACATAGACAAACTAATAATGAAGGGTTACTCAAACGTGTGAATAAAACAAAACACAACTCCAGGTATAAATCATAAATGAGTTTTGATTTTTCATGACAACATTAAATATGAATAAAATAGGCAAGCTTGAAAAGGTGTAATGCTCAATTTCTACAAACCAGATCTGGAGGACAAAGTGCTGGGTCTTATCTGTGAGGAGGAGAAGAGGCGCTCCACTCCACTGAGCACCAAACCTGCCCTCCGCCTGGGTCCAGACGGGCTTCCAGAACTGTTACCTGACACTGGGGAGGAGCCAATCAGGATACAGCATGCAGACACGCCCCCTTCCACTGGAGACACGCCCCCCTCCACTGGTGCCCCTCACAGAGTCCAGATACTAGTAAGAAAATATTTATACTTACACCACCAATAAAGTTACAAATTGTAGCTTTAGCTATTGCAAAACACTTTGCACTATCATATTCTTCTAGGCAGTGTGGGTAACTTGCACTAGATTCACTGCTGCCCCACTGTGGTCTCCCATCCATGTAGTGACCAGGCCCCGCTTTGCTTAGCTTCTCTGATCAGGCATTGACAAATAGGTATGGCCAAAATACTATGCATCTTTATCAAATATCTGTGCTTGTTTCAGCCTGGCATTCACACTTCTGGTGGAGGACGTAACATGTCACTGCTCAGACCAGCTCCAGGAACACAGGAGACCCAGATGCCCTCCTTCTCCTGGTCTGGTGCACCGTCCCCCCCTCAGGAGACTCTGACGCCCTCCCTGTCCTGGTCTGGTGCACTGTCCCCCCCTCAGGAGACTCAGATGCCCTCCCTCTCCTGGTCTGGACCCACAGTGGAGAGCGAAACCCTGAGTGACCAATCAACTGAAGACACTGCTCCAGGTAACTGCTCCTCGCGTATAAAGGACCAACTGACATGTAAAGCGCCTGCCTACTATTTGCTTTTTTGTCACTCTTGAAAATGCACCATGACAGAGAATCAAGTGTCAGGCAGTTGGTTTCCCATGATTTTTAGTAACAATGCACCTGACTGGATGAAAAGAGGAGACCCTACCGGTAATAAAGTTACTGCATTACTGCATTAGTCAGTTAGGCTGCATTCAGACTGCAGCCTGAAGTGACCTGAAGTGTTTTTTTGGCCCCTATGTGACCTGTATCCGATCTTTTAATGACAGTCTGAACCACACAGATCCGATTTTTTCAAATGCGACCCAGGCTACTTTGAAATGTGGTCCTGAAACCGATACAATACAACCGATCTTTTGACATGCGACTTCAGTCTGAACGGCCAAAGCGCATTTATGCAACCTACATGTTATCAACAAGCCAAAAACGTCACTATTGTGCGCTCAAGTAAAAATTGTTAATGAACTCCGTGTCACTGAAGCGAAGCACATCACCACTCACCACTCTTGGCTACGTCTCTACATCCACACGTTCCTTTCAACGGACGTCGCTGCCGCTGTCCCACAAAACACCACGGCCAAAAACCTTGTCCTTCTCCTTCACAATCTCCTCCTTAAAACAAGTAAGTTGTTCATGTTCTGGCTCTGGTACGAGAGGAACTTTAAAATCTCCAGGTGCTCAATGCTGACGTCCATGTTTGGACAACTTCCGTAAACACAGAACACGCTCATTGTGGTTGACGTCATCGTGTCTCCAGTGCACATGCGGGACACTTTCGAGCCGTTTAACGTTCACACACAGGATCACATATAAGTCACATTTAATTGGAGATGTGAAAAACATCGGATTTCACAAAAAACTCGGAATTTAGCGTTAAGCCCTGCAGTCTGAACTTAGCCTTAGTCTATTACCATAGACTGTCTAAAGAAGTGATCTAAGCAAGTGTGATGTCACCCATAGTGTTTAGCTCCACTCAAGTTAAGCTTTTTTTTGTACATTAATGAGGATATTTTATTGTTGACTGAGTGATCATGTCTCTCTGAACAATTAGTATTACTCAAGTTTTAAACAATGAAAAACAGTAATTGAACCAACAATAAAAGAATCCATAAGTCGCTACTGGGACATTAAATGTAGAACATTTCTTTTTCTTTTCAACTTTCAATTGAACCAGCAATATTGGAACAAAATAGTCAATAAAATAATTATTTATACAAAAAAAGAAATGATACAAAACATGTCTTAACATTTCAACATTTCTTTTTTTAATGTTTATTTTTTAGAAAACAAAAAGTATAAAAGAAAATAGTAAACAATCTCTGCCCTTCCCACCCCCCAACCAACATGTTATACATATTATACCTAGCCTCGGCTCTGACTGTGGGCACTGTGCTCCAGCCGGGCCATGGGCTCCGAGCTCGCGGAGGCTTGAAGTTGAAGCTTGGTTGCTGGTCCTGGTCTGGTCAGCCCGCTCGATGTAGTCCAAGACCACCATTTTTCCAAATGAAAACAGATGCAGAGGACACTGTGCAGCCACACTTGATCCTTCTGGAGCAAATAGTGCGGATTTACTTGCGCAACCAAATTCCCAAACTCGAGCGATCTGGATGCTTGAATTAACGAATGACTCAAAAAAGTCAAGTGATTTATTCACGCCATTCGCTTTTGGTCTGAACACGGCTTTAGAGTAGGTAAAGACAGCTGGGCCTTTTGAATATTGCTGCAGTAGAAGGTTTGCAAGAACCCTGGAAGTTAGAGACCCTGGACAGTCAGTGAAGAGCTGTGAAGTAATTACTTGGACACCACTGAGTGTTCCGGTGCATTACATATGTCTTGACCAAATAGCAGCGATTAGTTAAATTAAAAAAGTACCCACCTATCTTTGAGTCAACAAATCCTAATGCTGCGATGAATCAGGCTACCGGTTTCCCCCATCAACCCAAAACACGCACCAGAGGTAAAATTCTCCAGCTCAGGGAGTCAAGAATATCATGGAAATGTGTTTCCCTATGGGGATAATAAATAGTCATTTTTATTTATTTATTTTTTTTAATCAAATTTACTTCAACAATCAACTTTTTTATTAAATGGCCCATATTACACAATTTCCTGATGTTTGTTATAATTTTGTTTCCTCATCAAAAACATACCCATAGTTGTGTTTTGTTTCATTCACACATGTTTAACACCACACAAAATCTGCATATTTAGTTCTTCTTTCAGACAGAAATCACATCGTGATGTGGGAATACAGGAAGTGTTCCACTGTGTTTTTTCAAACTACTACATACACCTTCACTAGAATCATTAGGATGATTTCAGCCCTAGAATTGCCAATCTCTACTGAACAAAAGGTAAAACACACCTGTTAAGTTGAAAACTGCCACTACATGACATCACAATGTGGAACAGAGCATTTTGAGCTTTGAAGATGTAGACAAAGTAATAATAAAGTGTTACTCAAACATGTGTGGCCGAAATAAAACACAACTCCGGGTATGTTTTTGAGGATGTAACAACATTATAACATGACTTAAAGTTCACAGGAGTCCATTTTGTGTAATGTATCACCGTTAAAGACTGGGACATACATTCATACACACTAAGCTCCTCCTCTCCCCTGCAGGCAGATGTGGGGAGCCCCTGGACCCTGGGCCATGTCGGGACTATGGGGTCAGGTGGTACTACGACCCCATCGCCGACTCCTGCGCCCAGTTCTGGTTCGGAGGTTGTCAAGGTAACCGGAACAACTTTGAGACAGAGAGGAGCTGCTTACAAACCTGTGTCAGGGGGTAACACTGTCTGGCCTACATCATGGTTCTACTTTAGAACAGACTGGAGTCATTTCACATCATGTATGTTTGTAGAACTACTGAAGACTTGTTTTAGTTTAGTCTTTATTTGAAGGGACAATGGACAGAGACATTAAACTCATAAAAACAGATGTTCTGTACAAGATTATATAAACAGATAGGTTCCATCTGTAGTTGCTGAATTATGAATTATTTTTCTGCTGTTAGGACATCGAACAACCACACAATTACGATGTCTGAATCCCAAAACTAAAATATGATAATATCAGAACCAGAAACAAAAGCGATATGGTTCAAAAGACCGGAAGTCTGAGATTCTTGATGGGCCATGCTTGTACTTAAAGCAACAAGGGCTTCTTTGGATATGAAGCAGTTTTCATGCCACACATTTTCATCAGCGAGTCATTCCACCTCAATTCACCCCAAAAAATTGCAATTTGAACCCTCACATTGTCCAATTGCGAAGAAAAGGTGTAAATCATAGCCAAGAAAGCCAGAACCTCAAATTTTAGCTCGATCAGATTAACAGTTGCTGAGATATCGCAATTTCATTTTTTCACTTTTTTGCGTGGTCGCCGAATTTCAAATTGCATTTACTCAGCTACTGGTCCAATATCAAAAACTGAGGTATCTCTGGAAAGGGGAAATCATAAGGAATCCAAATCTGGCATTTATTTTTGCATTTGAGTACTTCTGAGATGAATTACCTTTTGACCTATGTTTTGACCTTGAAATTTTCAATAAGGGACACACCCGACCTCACTGACACCAATAGAAAAATGTAGCCCTATATGTCTACTACAACATATAAAAAATCAGGAGGGGTATTCTTTTTTATTTTCTCACAAATTGACCTAGAATGTGACTTTCCCCCATCATAAGACGTGCCAAATATACATTCAGTGTGTATTGAAAGTAGACACTCATTTGAGGTACTATACTAAAAAAGTCATATTGATAGTCATATTGACAGAGCAGAACCTTTCCTGAATGTCTTTAGAATGATCTGGAGCTGTATCAGAACAAGTTTAAGAGCACATAGACTAGTATACGCCCATGGAATCCACCTGGACCACTGAGGGATTACACACATATAACACCACATGGAAATAGACAAGAAAGTCTACAATCACATTCTATTGTCTACAGAAAGATTTAACACTATAACTATATATTTATTTTCATCTATGTGACAAATGAATCCATGTATCATTCGTTCATTCATTTTTCAATTTAAAACCAAAAGTAAGAAAATGAAAAAAACAACTATTTTCTTCATTATTTGTCTCCAAAACCAAAATGAAAAAACAGATAATGATTTGTTTTTTCAGTTTTCGATTTTGTGTTTAAGAAGAATGGAAAAAACGGATAACGACCGTTTCCCGTTTACGTGACTCCTTGACTGCGATGCTGGACTTTTGCACCGCATACAGACTGAACCAGGACTGATCCAGATCCGGGATCAAAAACGAATGAACAAATGATACACGGATTCAAATGTATAGTCATTTCTTAATAGCTGTAAATTTACAACAAAAGAAGCACATTTATTTTAATAGACTCACTGGTAACACTTTATAATAACTACACCTTATTTAGCCTTAATAAAGCATGAACAAAGACTTAATTAATAATGATTCATGCTTAGTAACTACTTAATTACTACCTGAATTAGCACTTAACTTGAACTTAATTGGCCTGTGCTGTAAATAGTTACTCAATACTTCTTAATTACTCATGAACTAACCATTTGCATGTTTACAAATGTATATTTAAGTACACATTTGAGCATTTATTGATGATTAGTAAACTATGAGAGAATGATTTACTAATAATACAATGCAATGATCATTCAGGCAGCTGTTATCTGTTAGTTAAGTCTTTCTGAGAACTTTTCTAAAGTGAAGACTAATTATGCTTTTATGAAGCATTTGTTAAGGTTGGTCAAATTCCAGAGAAACAATAATGCATTACTAGTAAATCATTCTCTCATGGCTTACTAATCATGAATAAATGCTCAAATTTGTACTTAAATATACATTTACAAATGTACACGCAAATGGTTAGTTCATGAGTAATTAAGTAAGAAATACTTATGAGTAATTATTTACAGCACAGGTGAATTAAGTGCAAGTTAAGTGCTAATTCAGGTACTAATTAAGTAGTTACTAAGCGTGAATCATTATTAATTAAGTCTTTGTTCATGCTTTATAAAGGCTAAATAAGGTGTAGTTATTATAAAATGTTACCGACTCATTTTCAGACCAAAGTTTACTTTGTTTTAATTAGTTTTGATTTGACTCCTCACCAGCCGTCTTCCTCACAGTGGTTATGTGATGTTGGTGTGACGCGTCCGGTCAGCTGATTTTAACAGGTTTTAGCGTCCGGCCTCCAGCGCCATCGGTAGTTCAACTTAGACTTAGACAAACTTTATTGATCCACAAGGGACATTATTTGGAAACAGTGGCTCACGGCACATAATAACAAAGAGAAATGTTATAATAACTTCTAAATAAGTAGCAGAAATACCAAGAGACTGATGTTAAATAAGATATAATTCAGTAAAAATAAAATACAACAATATAGTAAAAGAGTTGTTGTACAGTTGTATGGAGTATGATATGACTGTAGTCCTGTATCTGTCACTGTTTGAGCTGAGCTGTAGGAGCCTGTTGGAGAATGAGCTCCTCCTTCAGGACATTATTCCAGGTGCGTCAGAGTAAAAAATGTCTTCTTGTCAGTGTTGGGGAGTAAAAGATTACATGTACTGGAGTTATGTAATCAGAGTACAAATTATGAGTAACTGTATTCAGTTACAGTTACTGTTTCAGTGAGTAGTAATTGAATTACAGTTACTTTGTTGAAATAAATGGATTACACGGTGGTATTTTCCTGTTTTCACATTTTGGTAATTCCACTCATTGACACTAAACCAGGTCTAAAACAAGGTCTAAAACCAGGTCTAAACCCAGGTTCAAACCAGTTCTAAACCAGGACTAAACCAGGTCTAAACCAGGACTAAACCAGGACTAAACCAGGACTAAAGCAGGACTAAAGCAGGACTAAAATCAGGTCTAAATCAGGTCTAAACCAGGACTAAAGCCAGGTCTAAACCAGGACTAAACCAGGACTAAACCAGGTCTAAAACCAGGTCTAAAACCAGGTCTAAAACCAGGTCTAAACCAGGTCTAAATCAGGTCTAAATCAGGTCTAAACCAGGTCTAAACCAGGACTAAACCAGGACTAAACCAGGATTTAACAGGACCGTGTCTCCTCCTCTTCTATCAATAATATTTTTAATACGGTTAAGTAAAGTCTGGGCTTTTTTATTTTCTTTTATCAGACAAAACATCTTATGTGAAGATTTCCTCGTCTTTACTTCTCTACAGTAAATCAAGTAATCCAAAGTATTCAGATTACATTACTCACTTTAAGTAATTTAATGGACTACGTTACAAACTACATTTTGGGGTGTGTAATCTGTAATCTGTAGGGGAATACATTTTAAAAGTAACCTTCCCAACACTGCTTCTTGTCTTGGTTTATAGTCACAGATGGCAAAACTGTCAGTTATGAAAACAAACAAAACCTTGGTCTGAAAAAAGAATCTGCTAAAATAAATTGCTGGAAAGTCAAATGAACCTAATTGGACTGTAAGCAGCAGATTATATGTAAATACAATTACAGTAATACAACAATAATACTTGTAATAATTCATATTAAAAGTCAATGCATTACAGCTATTATTTTTCTACTGTATGGTATCTTTCTATATTATGTACTGTGTAATATATGAATTTGTTATTTTTCTATGCATGCTTATACTGTACTGTCTGAATAAAGATTCTGAATTCCTTCATATACTGAACAGATTACAGGAATGGGTGATCTGTATCGAAGGGTTTCCACAGAGCTCTGTCCAGTATCAAATATGTAGCAGGTAGCTGGTATTTGAGTCCAATATTTTTTCCTGCACTGCCCAGGTCTGTGTGCATTGTGATACTGACTTCAAGTTAGTGTTTGGAGCCTTATTAAAGGTACAGTGACTCTGTCAAAGTTGTGTAAAATGCTCCATCTGAAGGACTCTATTGACTGTACTGAGCACTGGTCTGTGGGCCTCTGCTTCAAACATGTTTGACTGTGTGGCGTCTATAGTTTGGACAGACCTGTTCTAAAGTGACTTGAAGGACATTGTATGTGTTGAACGTGAACATGAAAGGAGCTAAAACTGTCCCCTGATGGATCCCTGTCCTCCAGTGTCAAACACATCAGGTATTCACTTCATCTCTGGGCCACACTTTATAGAACTGAACAAAGTGACCTGAGCCAACAGTTGGATTTTAGCTCAATATTTCCTCCATGGCTCTTGTATTGTTGACGTCCATAAAGGTGAGTGAGGAAAGCTGAGCCAAATGAAGGAAATAACACATGATAGAGAATAGGATGAGCACAGAGGACAGTTAGTGCTCCGCTCCACTGGTCCAGAGAACATGACGTGGTTTCTGACTTGTGTCGCTAAAAGTAAACTGTGAAAGTTGATGGTTGATCAGTGAAGCAGCACTTCTCTGTTCTTACCCAGCATGCACCTGTGCTCCTGCTCTGTGTTGGAGGGAAGTGAGGTTTCTCTATTCAAATGAACTGTCCCTGAAGCTTTAGCCGGACACAGAGCTGTGATGAGGAGCACGGGGACAAGTCCAAAATAATGCTTAATAATAATTTTAGATACAACAAAACCAGAAGATCTACTCATACTCAGAGATACTAGGCCAGAACCATCGAACTGAAAATGTCTTGTGGATGGAGTTGAAATATTTTGATTGTAAAAACTGTGTCCAGATGACCACAGCTGAAACTTTCTCTACAGTGAATCACTCCTGGATGAATGAGGGATTATACTGTCTCATTTCCACCATAATAAAATACATCTTACATTATGTTCATGTGTCAGTCAGGGGCAGTGTGGTGGTGAGATGTTTGCACTCGAGGAGGGTTCTTGTGTTTTTAAAACTTGCACCTATCCCATCTCACAAACTAATCCATTTACTTTAAACTGCAGTAGAAGTTAGAAACTGTTTAACTGGTCTCTGTGATTTATTCCTTTACTTCTTCTCACCACTTTTAAACTTAACATTGAATAATGTTCCATTGTTAAATGAGCCACATTTAATGAAGTCATTTAAAACACAACACATGTTTCATCTTGCAGAGTTTATTTCATTACAGTTTGACACCAAAGCAGAAATGTGATGTATCCTTCCCAGATGTGATGCTGTGTTCAGAGGCTTTGACAGTGGAGACTTTGGAGG